AATACGTCTTTGACGCACAAAATCTCTAAAGTGCCCTTGTGCTAGACTAAGTTTAGACTCCCTTTTACAGCTCCTAACAAAGTACATTTATTCACTCTATTGACTGACCACTAGATTATATGCAAGCCAAGTACATGTCTAAGTGGCAGGGGTCTCAGAAGCCATCTGATCCACATCTAGTAAAAATGTGGTCTCAGGTGTTTGTGGAATAAATGGTAAGTCCACTCCATTTCAAAGTGTATGTGTGAGGATAAAATTTGAGAGCCGTTTTGGCCCCTTTCACACGAACGGACCGAACGGGTTCGGCTGTTAGTTTTTAAGGCGGAGCCAATTGGACCCTCCATTCTCCTCTATGCAGCTAAATCTAGCTAGTGGGTGTACACGGACAAAAACAGACAGATAGGGATCTGTTCCCCTTCCATTTAGCGGATCCATTTACTTGTGTTTACATGGACAAGCGCTCTGTTTTTCATTAGACCACCCATAGAGGAAAGCGGGCTGTGTGTCTCCACTCTGCATAAGCGGGCTGTGTCTGTATCTGCTCTTCATAAGAGGACAAGCCATTCGTCTGCTCAGAGTGGATCAGTGGACAGATCCCCCACTAAGCAAGCGGAGTACGCCCTGTGTGGCCTGGCTTGGCCCTAGAGTTTGATGCCATCATCTTGATCCTGGCTTCACCACCTGTTCTGTCACTGACCTGAAACAAGCATGCAGATTTTGACTACAGACTTCACTAGTTGCATGCTTAAGTTATTAATAAAGGTAAAATGTTTTATTAAAATCATGTATACTCCTAGATTGTAAGCTTGAAAGAGCAGGGCCCTCAATCCCCTCATGTTTTGCATTGTATTGGTATTGTTCTGTCACATGTTCTGTCCCCCTTTGTAATGTACAGCGCTGAGCGAACTATTGGCGCAGTAGTTTGGCCCTGAACCTCCTCTTCTTAAATCTCCTGCCAGAAATCTTGGCTCTTCTTCGTGTGCCCCCATAGCAAGTGGTTTGCTGTGGGGGCGCACAGTGCAAGCTGTCATCTGAGCTGTGTGTGTGTGTCTATAGAGCTGCACTCCACAGACATACAGCGGGGCATAGTTAGTCCTGAATGGCACCTGTGATCTGCTGATCATGGGTGCAATGCTTTACAGACTCCAAATATAAAAAAAAATAAATGCATATTTTTTTACCTGCAAAAAGATGTGCATTTATTATTTTTTTAAAAACAGCTCATCTTTTTAAGATGAAACATTTTGGCTTTAGAACCACATTAATCTAGGTCAGTGGATAACTTGAAAATGAAGCAAGCACAGCCTGAATATTTAACAGCCCAGTCAGAAATGACAAATACCAGTCGTCGTCCACCCCCCCCCCGTTCACAATAAAATGACGTATGAGTGTATAGAGCAGCCTTACTTTTCAACACAGATGAGCCCTTGAAATAATTTTCCAGTCCCAGGGAACCCCTGCTAAAAAAAAATACTATATCTAAAACTCATGAAGAAGAATGTCCTTAACACTTGTGGCCATTGGGGAGAATTCTCCCTTTACAGATAGCTAAAAAGACCAATGATGTCCGTGGGAAAGGTGAAATTACTCAAGGAACCCCTAAAAAAACCTGTGGAGGAACCCTAGTTGAAAAACCCTGTTTATAGAGAAAAGCATTGGTTTTGAAGCTTCCCATAGCTACCAATCTGTAATTAACATTCATCTTAGGGGGCAGACTGGTGAATTCTAAAATCTGCATGACTTTTGTTGTTCACCAGTGGTTGTCTTACCCTTCTGATTAAAGCAGTAGTAAACTGCCAAAAATAATTTGCAAAGAAGTCCCCCTGAAAAATAATAGCTTAATGTGCTAGTATGCAATTCATACGAGCACATTATGAAAGACTTGCCTTAGAACAAAGCCTTCCAGTGGCACGCTATCACTGCTGACTGGGCTGCCATGCTCACCCTGTCTTCCTTCTGGGTTCACAGGCTCTGGCAGCTTGATTGGCCGATCCAAACTGATCACATGGTCGCGGCACGGAGCTCTGAAGGATCGGCACGGGCATGCTGTTCTTTCCAGAGCGCATGTGCTTCTGACGTCAGTGACTGCAGGGACACTTAACATCTCCTAAACGGTTCATGTTTAGGAGATATTCCTTGTGCCTACAGGTAAGCTTTATTATCCTCTTATCTGTAGGTACAAGTGTCCAGTGGGAGATTAATCCCACTTTAAGTTTGATGGTGTTTGCTTTTATGGTACCAGAGTAGTCGTTTCTATAAAGATTGTTCAAGACATGAACAAATGGACACCAAGGACATGTGCTGTGTTACATGTGGTTCACCCAACCCAACAGGGGATGTGGAAATGCAATATAGATCAATCGCACAATCTGCCTTCATTGCACTGTGCACCCATCTGTCATGCGTTCCTCTGCAAAGTGCTAATTATAGGAATCTCCATAGAGAGCATGGTGTACATCCTATATGCTTGCTGTTTAAAATTGCTTTGTGGTCTTATTAGTGTTCTTTTATGTGCAATTATTTCATCTGTAGTAAGAAATTGGAAATAGATTTTCATTAAAGTTTTATAAGTTGACTTTCATCGTTATGTTACAAAAAAAAAAAAAATGGTTATGCCCTTTTTCCTTTCTTTTCCTTTCGTAGAAAGTTCCAGGGGAAGAAGAAAGACATGCTTTATATATTTGTAGGTTATTATATATGTGGTTATTTCCCATTTAAACAGATACAAAGCAAAGATGTGAACTTTTCTAGCTCATGAAAGATGTGTCCATACAAAATAGATACAACCCCAATTCCAAAAAAGTTGAGATGCTGTGTAAATGCTGCTTAAAAACAGATTGCAATGATCTACAAATTTCATAAACCCGTGCCTTTATTCAAAATAGAAACATGTCAGATTGTTTAAACCGAAATTTTTGTTGCGATTTAAAAAAATAAATTTATGAACAAAAGAGAAGTCTGATTTTGCCAGTAACTCATCTCGTAAAGTAAGCGGTACTAACCAGAAAGAATTGGAAAAGAACATTCTGCAGCTAATTTAGGTTTATTAATATCAGGTCAGTAATATAATTGAGCACCTTAGAGAGTCTGAGTGTCTCGGAAGTAAAGATGGGCAGAGGTACACCAATCTGTGAAAAGTTGCATTTAAAATTTGTTTGCAATTTAAATTGAGGATTATTATGAAATTGTTAAAGACTTTACAGTATATAATATCAAAAGATTCTGGGAATCTGGAAAATCTTTGTGTGCAAGGGACAAGGCAGAAACACAATATTGGCTGATCTTCAGGCCCTCAGAGGGAACTGCAGGCATGATTCTGTGGTAGACATCACTGCATGGGCTCAGGATTTCTTCTAAAAATCATTATCTGTGAACACTATTTACCGTGCTGTCCAAAAATGCAAAGAAGAAGCCATATCTGAACATGATCCAGACATGCCACCGTTATCTTCTCAGGGGGAAAGCTCATTTTAAAATGATCTGTTGCTAAATGGAAAACTGTTTTGTGGTCAGACGAATCAAAATTTCACATTTTCTGGCAGCCATGGGGGCCACATCCTTCGGACTAAAGAGGAGATGGACCTTCTGACTTATCAGAATGGTATTGGGGTACAATAGTACAAATTGAATGGGCAGCTTGCACATCTGGGAAAAGTACCATCAATGCTGAAAGGTATATCCAGGTTTTAGAGCAGAATATGCTCCCATCCAGATGACGACAGATATCATGGAAGGCCTTGCATATTTCAGCAGGATAATGCTAAACCACATACAGCATCTACGACAACAGCATAGCTTCATCATAGGAGAGTCAGGGTGCTTAACTGGCCTGTCTGCGGTCTAGACCTTTCACCAATTAAAAATATTTGGTGCATCTGGAAACAAAAAAGTAAAACAAAGATGACACAGGACTGTTAAGCAGAATTAGACAACATTTCCCTCCCAAAACTCCAGTAACTGGTCTCCTCAGTTCCCAGATGCATACTAAGTGTTAAAAAGAACTACTACAATGTTTTTGAGGCATGGTGCTGCCATCAATTTAAAAAATATTTAATTTTTTTCCTAAAATGTTGGTGGTTTGTATTGTGCAGGAGCTCTCATGTCCGTCCAAGTTGCTCTAGCTCAGATTTCTCCAGCTAAAGCTGAAAACTGCTGACACTCCCCCCTTTATGGTAAAATGGATTGGGGAGATCTTTACTCTGGACTGGGCTGGGATGATAGGCCAGCAATTGGCCTTTTTCTTGTGCTTACATAGTAGTTTTCGGTAGACATAATAATGGAAATGTGTTTAGTAAAGCATGTTTTGCAGTCTGTATGCTGGGATTTAATCCAATATGATTTTACAGAATCCGTTGCTTCTGATAAAAACATTACATAAAATTCCGTTCAGCTTTCATAAAATTATCTCCTTGCTTTGCTTAAGTGTGCATCATTGTGTTCATACTACTCTATGACTATATCTTAACGTTCTAATATCTTTCTAATATCTATCTCTGCCTTGCTCATTACTCTTCTGTGTCTAACAAGTGTTTTTGCTTAATTTTCTTTTTAGTTTTGTTGCCATTTTTTGTATTGTGACTTTATCTAGACCGTTTTTACTGTATATTATGTTATGTATCTACATTTATTTTGCATGCGTGACGTGGCTTTGCCTGGATATTCTGTTTGGTAAGTTCAGAATTTTAAGTGTCCTTTGCTTCTACAACTAAGACTGTTGTCTTGCTTTCTCTCTCTTTTAACATCTACAATGTCCCTTTGTGGACTGCTTTATCTCTCTCATTTTCTGCTTTTAACACATTGCTGTATAGTTTATAAGTGTGGCATATTTATACATTGTTTGCTAGTAGGGAGGTAAGTACACTCATCAAGAGTTCAGGGCATGCGTAAACTTCAGGAAGGCATCAAAATCACTGAGATATCAGGAGTGTTTTTCTTATTTTAGGATGGTTTACAATGTTGAATTGTCTAAGATAGTGTGTCTAAACTCTTCACAGCAACAGCTTGCACAGCTCCAAAAAGAGAAGTCTGAGATCCTGAAAAATTTGGCACTTTACTACTTCACATTTGTGGATGTTATGGAATTTAAGGTGAGCATTCTATTTTTGTTTTTATCTTTCCTGAATTATTGTGATTGTGTCCTAAATTGTCCTTGCACAATGATGTTGTTAATGCTAGGTATACAGTAAAAATACATTTTCTCATCTGTGCGAATGGTGCCACTGCAGGACCCGCACAAATACCTGCAGCTGCACCACCCACACAGGAATGCGGGACCCACAGGCAGGTGCCAATAATTCTAATGGCATGCCGACCGCAGTGGAAAATCACAATCATACTGGGAACCTCGGTTCCCATGAGGGCTGTGACTTCCAAAGTAGTGCAGGGACTTCTTCCCTGCGTGTCCCGGGGCACTGGAGTCCATTCAAATGAATGAGATCTCACGTCCATGCAAGTTGCAGCCCACACAACCCCACAGATTTGAACCAGGGCTTAGACAAATGTCCCCTTACCAACCTTGTAGCATCAGTTTGGACAAGGGCTTTTTTTTTTTTGTTTCCACTGTGTTCCTGTACAGAAAGCCAGGTAAAGACTTTGATACATTGTTGTGGAGGAACTCTAGTTATGTGCACTGATGGCTCAGCCCTTCTTGAACACCTCATAAATGTGTGGAGGGCAGGGGTCCGCAAATCTTTGTCCATATAAGCCTATAACAATGATATGGAAGAGCCAAGAAACAAGTGGCATCTACAGTGTGCCTGTCAACAGTAGGCACATAGGAATGCAGAATCAAAGGTTTCCTTCAGCTACAGAGAGGAGTCTGAAATGACGACGTCCCACGGTTTACTGTAGTAAAACCTTCTAAGTACCGCTAATACACCTGTATTTCAAAGTGCAGATGGAGACTATTCTGAAGCTTTTTGCAGCCATAACTCTCCTTGATACCGTGTTTCCCCAAAAATAAGACACTGTCAAAAAAACACGCTAGGTCTTATTTTTTTAAATGTCCAGGTGTGGACAGTGGGTGCAGAGGTGAGCTGCAGGCAGTTGTGGATGAGGGTTACTATGGAGAGGTCCGGTTGATGACAGTTGTGAGCTGCAGTCAGGTGTTGCAGAGGTGACTTGACAGGTGAGTTTCAGACAGGGTGCAGATATGAGCCACAGACGGGTGAAGGAGTGAGTTGCAGACGGGGAATGCAGAGGTGAGCTGTGGCCAGGGGGTGCAGAGCTGAGCTGTGGCTGGGGGGTGCAAAGGTGGGCTGCCTCACAGCCGCAGCTCACCTATGCACCCTGTCTGCAACTCACCTGACTCAATTTACCGCTGCAACACCTGACTGCAGCTCACCTTGGCACATCCCCCTGTCCCCCTCCACTGCCTTCATAAGGTTAGCTAGCTTTGCAAAACACAGCTGTCAGCAGCCGGCCCCTCTCTATAGTAACTCCCGTTTCGGGTCCTATCTTCCCACACAGTGCACCAAGCGCACTTACTCACCGCTCAGCCTCTTCCTCACTGGCCGGTGATCACCCCTGGGGCATCGGCTTCCATGCATTAGGCCCCTAAACCCGCAGATATCTGTTCCTTCCCTGTCCCACAGTGAGTACAGAGGTAGGGAGGTTCTGTGAGAGCGGATGGTGATGTCACTTCAGCCGCACCTCTGTGTTTATAAGAGACAGTAGATATGGGTGTGCGCAGGGCCAGTGCCGGAGGAGGCGGAATGGCGTTCCGCCATGTTCCAGCTGAAAAAGAACCCTAATCACAACTAGGTCTTATTTTCGGGGTAGGTCTTATACTTTAGCAATTCCCAAAAATAACACTAGGTCTTATTTTTGGGGAAACAGGGTAGTTATTTGACCTAAGTTCTGTCCCACTCACTATAATATTGCTAGCTTTGTTTTGTCTTGAAGCCCCTAAAGAGGTGTTTATAGTTTGTCTAAGCTATTGCTAATAAGACACTCCTAAAACTGTCACATAACAAAGATGTCAGGAGTGCGTGGGAAAAAAATTAAGTCATTAACAGGTCTGTGCTCTGAAGATTGTCTGTATGCTTTTTCATTTACTAAATACTTTGATCATAGGTCCTTTTGAATGATTGGTCTGAGCAATATATTAAAGTGGTTTTAAAAGCAAAAGGGTTTTTACCTTAAAGTGATACTAAACACACACTGTTTAATTTACAGTATCCCTTTATATTTGTGTATGTGGTTGATTGCACTGTACTTATTTAATTAAAAAAAAAATAAGTACCTTTTTCCTAATCAGTATACAGCTGTCACATGTCCCAGCTCTTTCCCAGCCTGTCTGTAGGGAAACAAAAGCAGGAGAAGCTTCTAGTCTTCTGCTGCTGGTCACATGTTCAAAATATAAAAAAAAGCCTTTGGTAAAACCAAAGTAAAACTAAATATCAATAAACTGTTTTAAACTGGCATACAAATATATTTGAAATCAAATATGTCACATGCCTCCAACCTGTGTCTTGGAATAAGAGGGAGGTTATTTCTTCATTAATCTACATGTCATATCCCACCCCCATAGTGTTTAGCTGGTTAGTGGGTATGGAGGAGGAAGGAGGGAGTGGACTGTCATTTACTACTGTGTATACTCCTACATGCATGACTATAGGCACATGGACTGCTCAGATGTGATTGGGAGGAAATTCTCAGCATAGAAAGTCACTGAAAACTAAGCATGTGCAGAGTTCTCTACAGCTGCAAAATTACTAGCTGAATTGGACATGAACAGAACGTGGAGATAGAGAACAGCAGGATCAACTAGATTTTTTGCAGAATACAGAAAATAAATGTAATAGTGACTGAGTATGAACAGCATGTAATACAGCATTTATTGATAGATTTGTTTTTTTTGTTGTTTTTTTTTGATGTGAGTTTAGTGACACTTAAATGCTCCTAAACCCAGACCCTGCATTCACTATATCTGGTCTCCCATAGTACACAGAACATGGAAATGTAATTATTTTAGTAAATATAAACTGCTAAATACCTTTTATTATCAGAAGTTAGAGCAGCCTTGTGGCTTCTATCAGTGTTCAGCCAAGCACTAGCTAAGGCTTGTAGGAGGAGTTTTCTTTCTACTCTAGGAGGATGTAGAACCCCTGACCTCTGTCTGACCGGTGCTGATTTGCCCTGTGCTGATCACATGCACTCTCCCAAGAAAAAAAAACCTTTAGCAATACACACCAAACTGAACATGTTTAAAATGCCTACGGTTCAGTCTGTGTTATCAGGAGATAAGAGATGGTCGCTTGAACAAGGGGAGGAACAGAGCAATCAGGATCAAACTGCCTTTTTACACAATGCAGATGATTAACCCCTTAGATCCCACAGTAAGTATAACAAGCATGCTTTACTGCATATACAGACTGATTTTACTTTTGTTGTTTTAGTAACACTTGAAATGCGTTCTCTGCAGCTCCTCCCGCAGCTTCTCTTAACCCCTTTGTGACGGTGCCTCCCAGCCCTGATGCTGATGGGGGTTTAGGGTCATGTGACCGCCGTGATTAGCTGTCGCTGCAGTCACATGATTGGAAAGGTTCCGATCGCAAGGAGATATTGGGACCTTTCCGTGAGGACGCATACATGTGCTGGGAGTGCAAATATGCTGCCGCTCAGTGTCGAGGCCCAGCCGCGGAGAGGCTACATATTTGCGTACGCTTGACATGAAGAGGTTAAATACCCACCTAAGCTCGATCTCACTCCAGCACTGTCTGTGTCTGCAACTGCTCCTCTTGGCTTTTACAGGCTTGCCTGAGAGCAGCAGGATCCATTGGCTCCTGCTGCTGTCAGTCAAAATCTGTGAGCAAAGAGTGGGGGGGGCGGGGCTGAGCCAGGCTGTATGTCTCAATAGATGCAAACAGCTCGGCTTGGGATTGAGCCCACGAGTGACTCCCATTAGGAAGCAGCTATCTTTGATGGGCACTCGGTGGTGGGAGGACCCAGGAGCATTGGCAGGGGACCTGAAAAGAGGAGAATCGGGGCTGCTCTGTTTAAAACCATTGCACAGTGCAGGTAAATATGATATGTTTGTTATTTAAAAAAACAAAACCCTGAAGCGTTCATATCACTTTAAATTTGCAGGCATCTGTTGTGGCTGGGTTAAGGAAATTGAATAGACAGAGAAATGTCATAACCCCCTAAAGCCAACCAAAGCCCAGTCCCCAGAGCTAAAGATGTTCAAAGGGTCAGTTCACTTTTACCAAAAACAGCCTATGCAGATAAGGGATGTATGTAGATAAAAACAAGATGTGCAGTTTTAACCAAAGTTGAATAATGCCCTTGCTATAGGGGTAGGCTATGTACCTACCTTCTGAAGCCTGACTGGAAAACTCCTAGAATTCTGCTAAGAGATGCCTAGCTGTTACTGTTCACCTCCTCCTATACAGTGATGTGTTTATATGGGGGGGATCGTGGGATCAGTACCTCCCTGTGCGCATGATATTTTAGTTTTCCTCTGGAAGCCTACACAGAATCCATCATGGTAAAGGGACTCCACATGATTGGTAATAGTTTTTATATAGCTTGTCCAAATCTCTGAAAGGCTTCTATTAATGTGTCAGCACTATTCTGAAACAAAATACCATTTGCCAATCATTCAACTCATGCAATTTGAACATACAGTTCTGCTGAGAAGCTTTTTGTTTGTCTCTGACTGGGAGGCCTTTGTGTTCTGCAGGGTGGCTTTCCATTGTACCACTGAATGGTTTGGATTTCTAGCTATTGATAGATTCTATATATGTGTTCTATTTGCAGGATCATGTATGTGAGCTGCTTAACACTATTGATGTTTGTCAAGTTTTCTTTGATATTGTAAGTATATAAAGCTGAAATGTTTATTTCCTTGTTTTAGAAAAAAATAACTGCTCAGTTTTAGTATATTTTGTCAGTGGAAAAATATCATCAAACTGCATGTTTTCCTTGGTGAGTCCACCATGGTATGTAGCTGTGTAATGATGAAAAATTTTAGCTAGGGAAAATATTAGAGCGACATTGCTCAAGCTGTGAGATTGATCATTAAGGCGGCAGGGCTCCCAGGGTTGTTTAGAATGGAAGCGATCTATAAAACACACAAGCTGCGTGTCATTTTTCACATGCATGTGAGCTTAAGCCTGCATTCAGGCCTGAGCAAGAGCATATTCCTGTGACTTTGAAGCAATTGTTTGGCCATTTTTCAGGTATGTGTTACACGTGTTTTTACAAACTTTTTGTATGTGTGTCCTGCTTCCCGGAGTGTTACCTGGGCAAGGGAAGGATATCAGTTCTTCTTGTGTAAGATGTGCGTGAAAATGTATGTATCACACGTTTATAAACACTCCCATTGAAGTCTATGGGACCAAAAATGCCTGAACATAATCAAATAAAAAAGTTAATGTACTTTTTTGAGCATCTCCGCTTACAAGTGTGAATAGGGACAATTAGAATGGTTTCTGTGTAGTCAGGCATAGGGAAATGAGCAGAATGGGGATTCAGGAAAAATGTTTAGCAAAATCCGCTGTGGGTAGAACAGTTCTATAGTGTGTACCTACCATGCAGCTTTGGAAGATCACTAACTGCAAGTGAAATGCTGTCTGCTTTAAGTGTGAGCTGTCACTTCTCCCTCTTGTGGAAATGACAATTTGTACTTTCCTCACGTTGGTTAAGGGCCAGTTCACGCTGTATGCCATGACATATGGTTTACCATATGGTAAAACGTCTGTCACCGCAGGGACACACCGGAAACAATTGTTTCCTGTGTGTCCCATACACACTGCAATGCAGCCTAGCGACATGCCGCTGTATTTTACACAGCACACTGGTCCGAATCGCACTGTAATGTCAAGCAGTGTAGCGCATCATGCCACCCGACATTGCAGTGAACGAATTGTACCTTTTGTACACTTCAAAAAAAGCAAGTACAAAACAAAAATAAGAGAATGGTGCGGTGCACTGAATCGTGCACAACACTGCCCGCTAGCTAGCCGCCAACCCAGAGTGACCAGAGTGCTGAATTGTTCTGGCTGCTCTGTTATTTCTTGGCTGACAAGTGTGAATGTGCCCTAAAAGAAACTTGGCCTCTAAGAAATGTAGGAGCTCACCATTTAGGAAATGTGATTCATCTCTGGGTTCTATGAACCCATTTGCTGACCTGGAACAAACATGCAGATTGGCAAAGTCAGATCTCCTGTTCTACATACTCCTTTAATGGGTCCGTACTTTAGAGAGTGTTGAATGAAATTGCACAATCCCAATGCACACGTTCATGGCTTTGTGTAAGTGGGTGCTGCAGTGACTATCAGCTGGAACCGAGAAGAATCGGAGGAAAAGAATGTCACCAGCATACTGTGGATCTCCAGTATGTGCCCAAAGCTTTAATAAGCATTCACATAGTTTCAGGGGGTCATGTGATATCCTATGCCTGATGAAGTGTCCTGTGAGACTCCTAAACATTGCTCTTGCTGTAACTCAGTGATTGCTCATTAAAGCTTTGGACCCATACTATAGATCCTTGGTGTGCTGGTGATATTCCTCTCCTCAGAGTGTACTGATTCACTGAAATGGCATGACAACTAGACAACTAGCTCTTTCAGAAGGAGGGGAGCAACAATGGCATGACCTTTCATTTTTGCTGTGTAGAGTCAGCAATGACTGCCATGTAGGGCACTTAATTTCTGTGTCTGGAGCTGGTACAGTGCCATGAAAAAGTATTCATACCTCTTGAAATTTTCCACATTTTGTCATATTACAACCGAAAATGTAAATGTATTTTATGTGATTGACCAACACAATGTGGCGCATAATTGTGAAGTGGAAGGAAAATGATAAATGGTTTTCAAAATGTATTACAAATATCTGAAAAGTGTGGCATGCGTTTGTATTCAGCCCCCTTTACTCTGATACCCCTAACTAAAACCTAGTGGAACCACCTGTGTGTAATTTTAATCTCAGTATAAATACAGCTGTTCTGTGAAGTCCTCAGAGCTTTGTTAGAGAACATTAGTGAACAAACAGCATCACGAAGGCCCATGAGCACACCAGACTGATCAGGGGGAAAGTTGTGGTGAAGTTTAAAGCAGGGTTAGGTTATAAAAAAAAAATAAAAATAAAAATTATCGCAAGCATTGAACATCTCACGGAGCACTGTTCAATCCATCATCTGAAAATGGAAAGAGTATGGCACAACTGCAAACCTACCAAGACATGGCAGTCCACCTAAACTGACAGGCTGGGCAAGGTTAGCATTAATCAGAGAAGCAGCCAAGAGGCCCATGGTAACTCTGGAGGAGCTGCAGAAATCCACAGCTCAGGTAGGAGAATCTGTCCACAGGACAACTATAAGTCGTGCACTCCACAGATCTGGCATTTATGGAAGAGTGGCAAGAAGAAAGCCCTTGTGGAAAGAAAGCCTTAAGAAGTCCTGTTTTGCGTGAAGCCATGTTGGGGACACCAAAAACATGTATAAGAAGGTGCTCTGGTCAGATGAGACCAAAATGTAACTTTTTTGCCTAAAAGCAAAATGCAGTGTGGCGGAAAATGAACACTGCACATCACCTTGAACACACCATTCCCCACTGTGAAACGTGGTGGCAACATCATGGTCATAGTTGATGGGAAGATGGATGGAGGGCAATACAGGGCAATCTTAGAAGAAATATGTGTGAGTGTAGCCTGCGCAGAGGACTAATCAATTAGACTGTCTGCTGCTAGCAAAACCACAAATGTGTAATGGTGAACAGATGTGTAAGTACAAACATAAAGAATTACTGCGCTGCCTCTACTGAAAAATAATAAACTCCCTTACTACATATAGGGTGCCCACAAATGTGCACACACTACAATGCCCTATGGGCTGACAATATTATCCCTCCTACCCAGTGACTAAATGGGGAACCAATATTTATACTCCGTGTGCTCAAACACCAATTGTGCTATAAAATGAATATTAACAAATATACAATACCATCAAACCATATGTACAGTGAACTTAAATGCAAAAGACAATAAGTACGTATATTAAAGTCTCAATCAATGTGCAAGCATATAAAAGTTCCAATGTGGAAAAAAATCCCCATCCACATCCAGTGTGAATACTAGGTGATACCATAGTTAATCTTCTTATCCTTCGCAATCCTCTATGTGAAGTGCTCCAATTAGTGACCCCCCTCCAGAGCCCCACTCACGACAAATAATTGACCAACCTGGATGGTAGGTCAGATAGCGCATTGGGTGTTGCAGCACTCTCCTGCAGTAAGTTGGCTGTCTGTGTGATGTTTGTTGTCTTATAAATTACAATATCCCTACAATCTTGATACCTCTTTACGCTGGTAACGGACTCCATATGTGACAACACCTCCAGATCAGTCGCTTGTGAAAAACTCCTCCAGAACATCCACAGTACTCCACCACAGTAAAAACATCAAAGGGGAACTTTCATAGCGTAACACCTTATTTATTAGGTAAAAAAAAAAACCCTTAAAATTGCACTTGCATAAAAAACGTGTATGGCAATTTAAATCCCAGCACAAAGTAATTCCTTCTCAAAAGACAAGTGTAGCGTTATCAGGCCCCGTCATACGCATTTCGTCATACATCATCAGGAGTGTGGCTAGAGCACCCCACTTGATGTCCATATATACCACAAGAAGTCTATGTATGTATAGTTTGATGGTATTGTATATTTGCTAATATTCATTTTATAGCACAATTGGTGTTTGAGCACATCGAGTATAAATATAGGTTCCCTATTTAGTCACTGAGTAGGAGGGATAATATTGTCAGCCCATAGGGCATTGTAGTGTGTGCACATTTGTGGGGACCCTATATGTAGTAGGGGAGTTTATTTATAATTTTTTCAGTAGAGGCAGCTCAGCAATTTTTTATGTTTTTAATCTTAGAAGAAAATCTGTTAGAATCTGCAAAAGACTTGAGACTGGGGCAGAGTTCACCTTCCAGCAGAACAACGACCCTAAAATTATAGCCAGAGCTACAATGGAATGGTTTAGATCAAAGCATGTTCATGTGTTTGGGTCTGGACTTTGACTGGGCCATTCAAATACAATTGAGAATCTGAGGCAAGACTTGACAATTGCTGTTCAGACGCTCTCCATCCAATCTGATAGAGCTTGAGCTATTTTGCAAAGAAGAATGGGCAAAGTGTCACTCTCTAGATGTGAAGAGCTAATAGAGACATCCCCAAAAAAGACTTGCAGCTGTAATTGCAGCGAAAGGTGGTTCTACAAAGTACTGACTCAGGGGGCTGAGTACAAATACATGCCACACTTTTCACATTTATTTGTAAAAAATGTTGAAAACCATTTATCATTTTCCATTCACCTCACAATTGTATGCCACTTTGTGTTGGTCTATCACATAAAATCCCAATAAAATACATTTACATTTTTGGTTGTAATAGGTTAAAATGTGGAAAATTTCAAGAGGTATGAATACTTTTTCAAGGCACTGTAGCTGTATTGAAACCATAAGACTAGACACTTTTTTGTATATGAAGTGAGCGATCCCCTACTTCTTATGTAGAAAGAGAACTGTTAAACTGTACCACCTTCTCCCTTCACTACTTTTCATCATTTCTAATTTTTCAGCATGTAGTATAATCTGTTTTTGTGCTAAAGGTTAAAAATTGTGTTATTTCTGCAGACTGTCAATTTTGATTTAACCAAGAACTACTTAGACCTGATAGTAACCTATACTACACACTCATGATCATGCTTTCTCGCATTGAAGAGCGGAAAGCAATTATAGGACTATACAACTACTCTCATGAAATGACTCATGGTGCCAGGTATGTACTTTGTTCAATAAATGTAAAATGTAATTTTGCTTCTGTGAATTCTCAATTTGTTACCTGTAGAAAATGTGATTATTGGGGGATTGTTACTTTTGGTAACCTATGTTTTTAAAGTCTATCTATAGCCAACATTTTTTTTCTTTTTTAAATTTTGAATTGAATTTAGAATAGTTATCTTGCCATGTTTGTCACATTGGCATGATTGTCTGTCACATCGAGTCTTGTAGACACTGTGGGACGTGAGAGTCTCTAAACCATAAGAGAAGTCCTGTTAGACATTCCGGGCGTTGCCATTTGGAGGATTTGCCCTCTATTCTGCTGACAACTCCAATTTTGTATTTCCCATCATATTCAGACTTGGTGACAATGATCACCAGAGCAGATTGGTTGAATCTCTTAAGTAGGGACACAGACCATTAAAAGAAAAGTGTATCTAAAGTTTTCAACCTTAGATACACTTTAAAGGATGAGATCACCTTTCGGAACATGTTAACTGTTCCATGTGCCCCCTGCTGCAGCTCTCCCCCAAACACCCCCTGGGCCTGGGATCTTCTCCCCGCACCTGCTGTCACAATTTGAAAAAAACATGGCTATGTGCGGCTCCTCCCACGTGTCCACGACATTGATTCAGAGTTCATGTGATTGAATGCCTAAAAGTACCATCGGCGTTTAGAATTAATGGATTCCCCCATCCACAGTCAAGGGGCATGGAGGAATCTTCACTATGCTATTCTGACAGCGGCGACTCTTCAACTGTCCGAGTACAGTGTTCAGCGCTGCAGCCGCTGCATATTTTCAAACATTCTCATTCAAAAGAAGTGTGATCATTAGACAGACTTCTCTTAAGCAGAAAAGGCAGTAGATGGATCAAAATGTGGCCAGTTTGACCAGCCCTTCTTCTTCTTTTTTTTTTCTTTCTTCTTTTTTATATATATATATATATAATATATATATATATATATATATATATATATATATATATATATATATATATATATATATATATATATATATATATAAATCTCTTTTATTAATTTTTTTTTTTTTATTAAATTTCCAATAAAATCATCATTATACCAATACAATTCACATATACACATTTCCACATGAATTAACCTATTCCCTTCCCACCATCCTTCCACCCCCAGTATTCACTTACCCCTATCCATATACCATATTCTTTACTTCTAGTTTCTTCTATATTTTTCTGTCTATATCTATGTCCCTTCTATCATACATCCACTCTCTCTTTCCTTCACTCAACCCCCCACAGCTACTCGATCTTACACTCTCTAAGCTTTTCACCTTTATACTCCTACCACTTCCACATAGCTTTTAGATATTTTAAAGGCAAACCATCTACTCCACGTTTTTTAAAATTTTTCCATTTTATCCTCCTCCATATGGTATTACTCTCCATCCTGTTTATATATTCAACTCTATTTATCCAATCTTTTATGTTTGGGGCTCTGGGGCTTGCCAGAACTTGGGGATACGACCCTTAGCCGCACTAATTAGATGATATAATACACTATTTTTATATAGTTTCACTGAAATCTCAGAATTATGAAATAAACACACCCACGGGTCCTTCTGTATGGTGATCCCTAGTATCTCCTGAATATATTGGATTATTTTCTGCCAATACTTCTGTATTTTAGGACATTTCTTGTATGTGGCATTGTTTCCTTATTCCCACACCCCCTCCAACATAAAGGTGAGACATCTAATCGTTGTTTATGTGCCACACTTGGTGTAATATACCATCTCGCCAAACATTTATAGTTAATTTCGACTGTGCTCATATTTGACACCATGTGTTAAATTAAATATTTTATTTTTTTGTTGCTCATTCAAATCTGTTCCCAGCTCCTTTTCCCATTTCTCTAAGAACAAAGGAGGATCTGGTCCATCCATATCAATAATGGTCTTATAAATCCTGGAGGTAGCATGTTTTTGAACTATGTTTAAACTTAGCAGTTTTTCAAATGGATACAAATCCTCCAGTGTCCTCAGTGGTTGTAGGAGCGCTACAACAAAATGTCCTAATTGATAATACCGCCACTCCTCTAATGTGAAAAATAAATCTTTTCCTCTTTATATCTTGGAAAGTGTACAATTTCCCCTTATCCACTGTGTCCTTCAAACGTGCATTTCTGTCTTTAATCCATTTCCTGGGAATATTATCCTTCCCTGGAGGGAAATACTCCGATCCCACCAGAGGAATTATTATTGAATTATATTTCCAATTCTTTTGCTTGTGTATTGTATCCCAAACTCTTAAAACTTTCCTTGTCAAAGAACTAGTATTTACATCCTTTATTCGAAAGTTATTTGGTATCCAAATAATCTTTAATTGTGTCTTACTCAAAATCCCTTCCATGTTTACCTTGTGAAATCTATATCTAATCTACAATTTGTGATATCTCCGAAAAATATTTCCTGAGATTATGCAGGTTTAATCCCCCATTCCCTTTATCCCTACACAAAACCTCATATTTAATTCTTTGTTTCTTATTTTGCCCATATAAACCTAAGTATCTTCTTTTTTTTTTTTTTTTTTTTTTTATTATCATCCTGAAGAAAGACCCTGGTATATGTACTGGGAGCATATGAAACTTATACAAGATTTTTGGTACTATCACCATCTTTACCAAGTTTATACCACCTAAGAGGCCCCTCCCTTTTAAATGTCTCCCCAACTCATCTTTTATTTAATTTATTAGTGGGATATACTTTGCCTGTTATAGGCCTTTTATTTAAGGTGTTAACTTTATTCCTAGATAACCTAATTCCCTTTCCCTCCATGTAAATGAAATTTTTTTTTTTTGTAGGGTCTGCTTCTCTATTTTTAAGACCTTGATATTCAGTATCGCAGGGCATTTCCTTGGGTGCATTAAATGCCCGGACTTGTAGAGCTTCAGAGAGTACTTTCTGCATACTCATTCTTCTACAGGAGCCTCAATGTTCACTTTAGGACCAGTTCACACCACAGTACTGTGCTTTTTTTCTGCATCAAAAACATATATAAAGTATGTTACATGGGTTTCAATGGTATAGTTCACACCAGTGCAGTCTGTTTCAGTGCATTTCCGTTCCAGAAAAAAAAAGTACAGCATGCTACTTTTTTTTCCTGTACAGAACTTGGCTCCTCCCATGATCCTCTTCTGGTCACATGCACATCTGGGCTAGATGGAGTATAGAAGGCTGTATCTGGACACTGATAGGCTCATATGGATGGTTCAAGATAATCCTTTCAATTGACAACTGACATCCGAATAAAGTTTTAAGAAAAAATTTCCCAGGTGTCAACGAAGGTCTACATAGTGTCCAAAATTGTCCCTTGCTTTCCCGCTCTATCAGCAGTGGATGTACCCAATAACACCTTCTCTTGCAGGCATTCAGTCTCAGTAGTGCAATGGCCATAACCATGAATAAGCTTTGCAGTGCAGACATTTTCTCTACACAGCAGCACACAGCATGCAAAGGACACTTCCTAGAGATAAACAGGAAGTGATGTGACAGGAAAGTGACCCACAAGTATTATCTTGATGGAAATAAAGACTTTGCATTTAAAATGACCCAAAAAAGGAGGAAAAAAAAATCTGAAATGCATTAAAACAAAGCATATGCAGAAATGCATTCAAAACAGATCTGGAGGACGTTTTTGTGGTGTGATCTGGCCCTTAAAGACTTATTCTTTTTGTCCCCTCCATTGACCTAATAAATACCACCTTGCCCTTCTTAGATGTATACGTATTGTGATCTGACGCCCACAGCCTTCTTTGTTGACATCTAGCACTGCAATTCCTGTCTGCTGCCTGTGCAGCATGATTCCTCAAGATGAATAAAGGGGTTGTCTCTCTAGCTGGAAGACTAAGACAAGGCCCTTAAAAGTATATGGCCAGGGGGAGGGGATATATCCTGCTGGATGTTACCAAACATAGGAGGCCATGGTGTTGGATCTCCGCAAGTATCCATCCATGGAGTGAAAGAGTGGGATCTATTAGGTCAGCGTAAAACAGCAAAAATAATAAGCTTACTTTTGTCTTAAAATGCTCTTACCTCTTTATTATGATGTAAGTGGCCACACTGTTGATTGATTTTGGCAAAAGCGCTGGATTAAGCTGGAAATACACATCAAAATTTTGCAGGTTCAGGCGGAACTTGTCAGACTTTTGTATGGGTGTAGCCCTGTCTGTTCAATAGAATCCGGTTGTTAGACCAGCTTCTGTCAAACGGTCCTGCTGGAACACCAGCATTCGGCCAAAAAACTCTGCATGTATACTCTGCTTTAGGCAGACCTAGGCAATATCCTACTTTATGTGAAAAAAGGTGTAGAATTTTTTTGTGATGTTAATAAGCGTGCTGGGCTCTTCACAATATTTTTTAAACAAAGGTGCAGTTGCCCTTTAAGGTTATTTACTACAATAAGCTAAAGGAGGAATTCTGATGCTATTTATTGATGCCCAGAAATCCAGCACCCAGGAGTTCTTTTAAAGGTTTCTCTGTTTTATAAAGACAGTTATGTATGATCCAAAATTGGCCAGCAAATTTGTTGTTTTGTTTAAAGTTGCCCCATCTTGATCTAAGAGTTAGTTAATGATGTTAGGCTGACGTACGCTCAAGTCATAAATTGTGACCATTGGTGCAACTTTCTCATTACCAGTGATCGGGAATATCCTCGGCTTGGACAGATGATTGTAGATTATGAAAATCCTTTAAAAAAGATGATGGAAGAATTTGTACCCCATAGTAAGGTAATGCCACTGCTTTTCTTTAATAACTCGTATATTACTTTCTGTCTATATATGAAAGCAGTAGTAAAACAAAAAAAGATTTTTCCTGCAAGGTAATGTCGTAATGTGCTAGTATGCATTGTGTATTAACACATTATATAAGACTTGCCTAAGAACAAAGCCCTAGCACGGTGCGCTGTCACTGCTGCAGAGGCCTCCATCTTTACCCAATCTTCATTCCAGGTTCCTGAGCTGCGGCTACTTGAATGGCCGAAAGCGCGATGACTTCACTCCCGGGTATGCGTTCCTTCAGAGCGCATTCGCCGATGATGTTGCCGGTTGCCACTCACTAGAATATTTCCTAAATGGTGCACATTTTACCTACAGGTAAACTTTATTATAAGCTTACTTGTAGATAAAAGTATAAAATGAGTTTACTACCACTTGAAGTAGGAATAGATACTGTGCACTTTGTCCAGAAGCCTAAAGCAGGGAGAGAGACACAGTAAAGGGCTTTACAGATGGTGCTTTTTTTTTTTTCAAAATTATGGGGCACTGCAATGAAAGCTATAGTAAGCAAACTGCAATTTTGTTTATAGCATTGCTCATTTGTGGAAAGGAGGGTATGCTGCACCTAAATATAGAGTCCGTTCTCCAACTTGCATACATCAGTTTTCAGACTTTCTCTTTTTCAAGTCTTTAAAGCAATGACCTCTTATGATTTAGGGCTGAACAAGAAATTAGCTCTTAAAGGGAAACTATAATGCATTTTGGGTTACTTGTATTTACATTTTATAGGTTTTGATGTTTTTATTAATCTGTTTTTTAATATATATTCTATATGCAGTCATTGTTTACAAATAAAACTTTAATAAAGGTTTCCCAGAGCATTATGATTTACCTAAAGCAGCCTTTTTCAACACAAAGGAATGCTTGAAATAACTTTCTGGTCTTGGGGAACCCCGGATAATACTTACATTATCTATAACTCATGAAACATCAGTGTGATGGTCAGTGGGAAGAATGCTCTTTACAGTTGTCATTGAGAAGCATTAGCTCCTTACGGATTGCTATTAAGATCAGTGGTGTCAGTGGCATCTTATCTGAATGGCAGAAATTGCTCAAGGAACCCTGGTTGAGTAACCCTGATCTAAAGAGATAGCACAGCAGTAGTCATCTCCTTTCAAGCAGGTCACCTCTCATTAAGGAGGAAGCCTGTTGATAAAGGATCAGTTACTGCTGGCTTTAAACAAAATATTAAAGGAGATGTGTGGGGTATATATTAGAAAAACAAAAATCATCTCCATGCTGCAGCTGTCCCCTGCCTTAGAACCCAAGATAAACTCTCTTCCCGCTCTCTGCTCTGCCTTTTCTCTCACTGCTCTCTGCTCTGCCCCTCCAGTGCTCACTGGAGCTGGCTTTGGCTCTCAGCCATGTGCTGAGAGCTGGAGCTAGCTGTCAATCAGGAAGCTGGGTGGATCCTGACAATATGGTTGGGATTCTTCCAGAGCCTAGAGCTGCTCTGTGACATCAACAGGCTTTAGCCTGTCAGCAGATTTTCCATCCACGGGAGAGCAGAAGTAGGTGCACTGCTGTAATCCAGAAGAGAAGTATGGTTTAAAAAGCTTTGATCATACTGCTTTTAATTTGCAATGTGTATGCTAAATGAACTAAATTTTTAAATTTTTTTTTTCAGCCATTACCAATAAGGCCCTTTTCACATGGGCGGATCTAATTCAACCCTCCATTGCCCTTTATGTAGCTGCGGATGTAAATGGACATGTGTCAGTTTACACACACCTGCAACCTATCCAATCCTTTCTGCTGATAAAATAGAATGGGGATCCGTTCCCCATCCATCTAGTGCAGGGGTCTCCAAATGTCCTAAGCAAAGGGCCAGTTTGCTTTCCTTTTAGATGTTAGGAGGGTTGGACTGTGACTAGTGGAAGCAGAAAATGCCCTGGCGTTAATAGGCATAAACAATGCCTCATTTGTTTGAATGGAATGAATTCCCATTGTTTGTATCAGTTGGAAGAATTGTGCCCCATCAGTGGTGTCAGTGGGAGAAATGGTACTCCGCCAAAGGCTTCAGTTGGTGGCATAGTGCTCCAAGGGCCAGAAAAAGGCAAGCCAAGGGCCACATTTTGGAGACCACTGGTCTAGCAATCGATTGTAAATGAATGTTTACATCCGACCGCCCAAAAAGGACAGCAGGCTGTGTCCATGTCCACTCTGCATAAGCGGAGCAGACATGGGCCTGTCATCCACCTGCTCAGTGGGGATCAGTGGACAGATTTCCCCTGAGCAGGTGGATCTGCTGGCAGAGTCCGACAATGTTAAAGGAGCCTAAATTTAGAGAACCATATTTCCTTTAAGGTTATAGTAATTCTGCAATAGTATTTCTAAGTTTTTTTTTTGTTTTTTTGTTTTTTTTGTTTCTTTTTTGAGCTTTTAAAATCTGTTAAGTTGAATTTGTAGTTTAAAAAAAAAAAGGCACTGTGGGCTTTTCTGTGCTCCAGTAACTGCTGAGGAGCTGCAAGCAATTTAGGTCTTGCCAAAGCCAACTATGCCTTGTAGTTCTGTGCCAGCTGCCTGTAAGTTGCCTCAGCCTAGTTTGTTGTGGGAGAAAAGATTCCAATTTTGAGGGTTGTGAGGATTTTCTGTTGTCTATCTTTTGTCAGTGGGAATGTAACCAATTGCTTTCTTCATTCTTTCATTAGATAACTGTTATCCCTATCTCCTCGGATGTGCTTCCTTCTCTTATATGGCCTAAATTGTTGGAGGATATTATTCTGAGCTGTGTTTTGTCATCAGCACTGCAGCTTAGTACATTATTTAACAGCTCTGTAGAGGCTACATCATGTTCTAATTTTATGCCGGACAGTATTTATTTGCTGTACTCTCATTGCTGTATGAATATTTAAGTCTCTTGTTAATATGATTCTGGGATTAATAACTTCAATTTGTTTTACTCCTGTTTTAGTCTTTGTCAGATGCCCTAATTTCACTTCAGATGGTTTATCCTAGAAGAAACCTTTCAGCAGAACAATGGAGGAATGCCCAGCTTCTTAGCCTCATCAGTGCACCGAGTACAATGTTAAACCCTGCTCAGTCAGATACGGTAGGCCTTTTAAGGATATATCTGTTATCCACTGAAATAGCATGTTTCTGTACCTCTGTTTTAGCAGTAGCATGTGAAAATCAATGAAACTATTCCAAAACATAAAGTGTATATAAGGGATAAAGTGACATTGTACAGTACAGAACACAAGCTGGATATTGAGAGACCTTCATGCTACCTTCAGGTGATTGGACATTGGCAAAAACTTTGCTGGGTATGCCCCCCCCCCCCCCCTACACGTAAAAAGGTTTTTTAATTCTCCAAGCATCCGTGGTGAGTTATATCTAATGGGGAAAAAAAAAATTCTCAAAAAAAATTGGGCTGTTCTGATGCAGACCCTGCTGTCTCAATCTTAAATAAACACTTCACCTATATTAGATGTTCTTCATTTAAGGATTCTGCAGACATAAAATTTGAGGCACTCTTTATTCTTGCAGGACCAGCCCCGCAATCTGCTATTGCTGCAATTTCTGTTTGTCCAACTGAAGCTTAATGGACTAGAGAACTGAACATCAACAGGATCCTGTTTTCCAGGATCGAGTTCTGGCGGAACATTCCTTTCCACCCGACTGTTCTGTGTTGATGCCCTAGAACATGTCATGGCATAAATCTCCAGAATTGCTCCAATTTCTGTCCATATGTGTAGAATCTTGTGGCAAAAGCCTGGACAGCTGAAGCTGCCTGTAAAAGATGATTCACTTGTAGACCTTTTAAAGGTGACCATCTCTTTAATGATGCACTTGCCAAGTTCATGAACAATGTCCTAGGAGTAAAACTCCTTCTTCCACAATGTAAGCCTCCAAATTACCCCTGTTCAGGGGCTTCTACCTCCCCTAAACAAATAGCCGTATTGCTCTTCATCTTCAATGCCAAAATTCAGCTCATCCATTTGGTGCAAGAACTGAAACACAAAATCCACTATTTACCTCAAAGCTGACTTCACAATGAAGGGGCTCCCTCACTTTAAAAAAAATCGGTGGACATCTGCTCCAGTTTGCATTGTTCTGGGTCACAAACTTCACACAAAAGGGTACAACATTTTAAACTATGCCCCCTCAATGCTTTCTTCTCTCAAACCAGCCAAAATCTGCCCAAAGACCATGAAAGTACCAGACCGTCCTGCATCATCTTGTCCCATGAAGTGGTTGATCTAGTCTCACTGAATATGTTTTAGAATCCTTTGAACCTGTCCTTTTCAGGGGTGGACTGACAACTCATTGGGCCCCCGGGCAATAGGGGATCATGGGGCCCCTGTGTCCTATCCCAAACTCAAAAAATCCTATGAAAAAGGTACCAGGGGCATCTCATGGGGCCCCCTAACGACCCTGTGCCCTCGGGCGGTGCCCGAGTTTCCAAATGGTCAGTCCGCCCCTGGTCCTTTCAGAGTACCAAAACGGGGGTTTCATACTATATTGGACTTAAACAAGTACTTTTTGTGTGCCTAAATTTCACATGGAATCCACAAGGTCAATAATTTCCCTTCTGAGAAATAAGAATGTCTGTCTGGCATCAGTAGACATTCCAAGATGCTTACCTACATTTTCCCATTAACTCACCTCATCAGCACTTTTTGCAGTAGGAGACAAACACTTTGTCGCACTGCCAGTCAGCCTTTTTCTTTGCCCCCAGAGCGTTCACAAAGTTGCTTGCACAACTAGTCGCCGTCTTAAAAATTCAGGGCATCTAGGTCACTGGGTACCTAGATGACCACTTTAAGGATACATCTCTCTCAAAAATATCTGAAAACAACTATCCAGATTCTTCAGGCCTTTAGGTGGGTAATCAGCCTGCAAAAATCTTCTCTCCAGCCTTCTCATCCAAACTACTTATGCCTCATTATGGGCATGGCCGAGGAAAAAGTGTTTCTTCTGGCAAACTTTCCTTCCCTAAGATGACATGCTTGGACCTTAAGAAATTCTCCACAAGGGTCCTGTCCTGGGCCTTAGACAGCCTCATTGGATGCTGTTCCTTTCGCTCAGTTTCACTCAAGTCTGCCTCAAAACATTGTTGGCCTGGAACAAGCACATTCCTTTTCTTGATCTTCTCATGTTTCCCCGCAATCAAGCAAAAAACTCCCTAGCTTTGTAGATTTTCAATCCAACCTTTCGAAATGGGAAAGTTGTTTTTTCCACACCCATGGAGACAACAGATGCCAACCTCACAGGCTGGTGAGGAGTGTTCCAGTATCTCATGGTTCAGTGAACTTAGTCCCCAAGGGAATCAGAGGTCCCCATCAACAGGTTGGAGCACAAATCAATAAAATAGCAATAAAATTAAATGGAAAAAATAAATGTTAATTTAAAAAAAAAAAAAATTAATATAAAATGTAGGTCCTGCATGCTTGTGTAAACATCTGTTTTAATCACACATGTGAGCTATCACTGCAAAAGTGAGAGCAGTAAACCTAGGGCCATTGTTCATGATTAATGGTACACTAATAACCAGTAAAGGTTTTTTAGATAAAACATACATAAAACATTTTAGGTATCACAGTTGATCACCATTTTAGAAATGGTAACAAATTGTGTATTGTATTGTATTTGTATGCACTCCATTTCATTTTAGTGAATTTTTTTACTTGAAAATTTCTGCTTGATAAACGACTGCTGAACAATTGTGTGACACGCAAAATTGCAGTAGCCACCATCTTATTCTCCTGGGGTTCTGTATTCTGAAAATATGCAAGTGTATGTCTATCTTTATATGTTAAATCCTATGTGTGTGTGTATATATATTGTCCAAAATGGGTATTTCTGCATGACTGGTAACGCATGTAGGTTAAAAAAAAGTGAGATGTTAAGTGCTTTTAATGGCAAGCAGTATGTGATAAATATTGATTTTATGTTTTTGCAGATGCCATGTGAATACCTTTCACTAGACGCAATGGAAAAATGGATCATTTGTAAGTTTTTTTTTTTTTTTTTTTTTTTTTTTTTTTTTTTTTTTTTTTTAGTAATAGCATGCACTGTGTGTGTTAATTGTTGAGCAGTTTCAAAGTCATTGATGCATACATGTTCTTGACAGGTGATCTATAAAGTATTGTGCTCTGTGTAATAAGTTAACTGGTGAATGCTTGAGCTATAAGACCTAGTAACTGTGTCTATTCAGCGAGCCCTAAATTGGTTATTAAGCTACCATATTAACTAAAAACTGAGTCAAAAACGTGCATGAGGTATTGCCACAGCTTCTCAGAAATGTGTCCTGCCCAAAAGCCCGCTATTTTTTTAATGTTACTGAATGATCAGGCCACTAAGGGTATTCATGGCCTGAAAACACTGTGTTGAGTGAGATTGCTGTCACCTTAGTTCACCATGGCAGGTTGTGCTGGTATTTGTAGGAGAGCATCTGTTCACAGCAAGTTTTTTGACCTCTGACACAATGCATATGCTTAATTGCTGAGGCCTTGTGTATTGCCTTCAACCTATTTTTACCTTACCGACATGAGGTTTCAATATGGCTGATTCTAGTCCGCTGTACTGGGTGACCCCAGCTCATATTCTTTTAATGGCTTCTAGGCAGTTTGCAGCGCACCTACTGACAGTGCCATAGTCTAGATCAACCTTTTTCAACCAGGGTGCCTTCAGGTTTCTTCAGGGGTCTTTAGTTTTATATAAGCCAGAGGGTTGATCAAGCTTGCCTTTTGGTTACACAAACCACAGGTTTTTATTTTGCACCAATACAGCTTTCTAGCTGCCAGCATCCCAAACGACCAATGATGTCATTGGTTGAAAATGACATCTGGCACCTGCACAGCATCCTTTTTTGCGCTTCTCTTTCAGCACTGGGGTCACATTAGCTTAGTGAGGGAGAAAAGAAAAATTGGAATACTAGTTGGTACCAGTGTGCTTTTTAAGAATAAATCGCCACCAATGTTGGGTGTCCTGCATGTGTGGGTGTTGCTGCATTATGTAGAATGCACTTTTAGTTTAGTTTTTTTACATTTTAGAGTGGGGTACCTCAAGATTTTTGCAGAATGTTAAAGGGTGCCGTGACTGAAAATTGGTTGAAAAGAATTGGTCTAGAGTCATGTTGCCCTCTGTTCCTTGAGCCTATTCTATCCTCTTGAGCTTCAGTGGTATAGTTGCAGCCTCTTCCTTTTTCACTGAGGTCTTCACCACAGTCATGCAAGACTTCATGGTCCAAATAACCCAATTATTTGCTGACTGTGATCAGTGGCAAAAATCTTCAGCAGCGTCTATATCTGGATTGCTTGTCTTATCCGCTTCTGAGCCTTCAGCCACAGAAAACTCTGTATGATTCTGTGGTGTCCCAGTCCTTGACCGATGACCTTACTCCTGAGCAGTCTCAATCTACTGCTATGGGTGGGGGGGGACTTAGAAGGCAGGAAGAGCCAAGAGCGCCAATAGGCGACCCTAGAAGCGGATCGGGTCTGCTCTGTCCAAAGTTGTTGCATAGAGCAGCGAAGTATAACATTTTTGTTTGTTAAAAAAAATCCTTTACAGTCACTTGAATAGCCTTGTATATGTTTGATTAGGATTTTGTGCAGAAGTGGTCCAATCCCACATGCATTGCATGTCTATAAAATATATCTAAAGGCAAAACTTTATATTTTTGATTTAGTAGATGAGGGTTAATACCACTTCCTTTTCTTCTTCTTTTTTTTTTTTTATATATACACATCTCTGTCTTATCTGTCCTTTTAGACTCACAGACTCAACATGAAGTGGATATATTTCTAGTGTGAAGAGTATCCTCTTTTTAGACAGTTGTTAGAAGAAGTGTCCCTAATTTCCCATCTATTCCTGTTCTGGTGTGAACTAAAAATTTTGAATTTGACAAGAAAAACTATTGAAAATTGGTGTGGAGTATAAGGCACTAAACACAAAAAGGACTTTTGATTTAAGTTGGACTTTATTTCATATATCGCTGTTGTATTGTACATAAAAAGTACATTTTAATGTGAACCCCATTGTTGGTGTCAGTGGAAGGAAAAGTGCCCCAATGTTGGTGTCAGTGGCAGGAATAGTCCCTCAAGAGCCAGATAAAGTCAAGCAAAGGGGTGCAGTTTGGAGACCACTGGTATACAGTATACACTGCTATGTAAGATTTTACATACATGATAGTAGGTGTGTGGAGCACGGGATAATATAAGTGGCAGCAGGGATATATATATATATATATATATATATATATATATATATATATATATATATATATATATTTTATATATATATATTTTATATATATATATATATATATATATATTGCAAGTATATGGTTTAATTTGTTCGAAATGTGTGATTGTTAGAATATTAAAGTAAAACAAAAACCTCATGCACAAACAGGACAGGTTTGTCTTCAGGTACAGTGTTTCTCTAGCAGAAGCAGTGGTTGCTCTGCTGGCTCATTGGGATTAGTACACCCTGATCTATGCGTTTTCTCTCCTGAAACTTTCCTTCTCTGCTCTACAGGAGTGAGGGCAAATTCTGTTGATTCTTATTGCTTTGGATTAGCCCTGGTAAATGTGGTATTGCAACCTGGTAAGGATTGCCTGCGGGCATTGCCAGATCACCAGGATTTTCTGTCCCAAGGACCATATTTACAATCCTGCATCATGCTCCCTGGCTTTAATAGCATTGCCAGAATGCCAGGATCTTCTATTCCAAGGACCAGTTTTTACCATCCTGCTTCATGCTTCCTGACTTTAATACCATTGTTGTTGAAGCCAAGGTTCTGAGGGACAGGGACATCCTTGAGTCATTTTGTGCAAGGTCTGTCATTTGACATTGAAGGCATACTTCACTTGGTGTTAGTCTTGGGGCTTCCAGCCCAGGAGTTTCTAAATGTGATCAATTTCTCCTTGCAACAGGGTCTGGATCAGTGTTTGGTTGTGACTACTATCAAGGGCCAGGTTTCTGCCCTTTTTCTATTCTGCTTCAGATGCCATTGGACTCGCTGCTTGATTACGACATGTGTGCATTTGTTTGCCAGTATCCAATTCTTTTTTTGTTGGCAGTAAAATCCGAAATGTAAAAAAAACGTCTTTTGACCTTCAATGGACTTCAAGAAAAGGATTTATTTTTACATTATTGCTTGTATTCAAACGCTTCATCTGTACTTGGGCACTTGTATGGAAATGCAGGCATCTTTTCTTTCTGTGAGTGTGGCCGCTGTGAAAAACTACAGTTCCCATCATGCTTTGTGAATTTTAGCAACAATAAGCCTAATGAAGGGGATAGTGGGCAGGTTGTAGATCAATCCTTCTGTCTGTCAAATGAGGCCAAGCTACTGGGAAGGTCAGACCAAGAGCTAATGCTGGGCATAACAAGGATAGTCCCCCTAATTTTATATACGTGCATACACACAATACATTGGGGTAGCCACCACACTCTGTATGAGGTAAATGTCCAGGTACTCGCCCATAAAGAAATCCAAAAATAGAGGCACACTCAAGTCTTGTGGCGGAGGTACATCAAAACTGCAACGTTTTTATTATCAAAATTTTGATGAAGCTCAGTCCATCTTTCTGAAGAGAAAAAAAGATAGACTGAGAAGGATGAACTGAGCTTCATGGAAACATCGGTAATAAAGACTCTGCTGTTTTATCTCTGCTGCAAAACCTGTGCGTGCCTGTATACCTGTTTTGGAGATATATTACTTACAGTGGATATAAAGTCTATACTCCCCTGTTAAAATGTCAGGCTTCTGTGATGTAAACAAATGAGACAGAGATAAATAATTTCAGAACTTTTTCCACCTTTTAATGTAACCTATAAACTGTACAACTCAGTTGAACAACAAACTTAAGTCTTTTAGGTGGAGGAAAGTATAAATAAAAAAAAAATAAAATATGGTTGCATAAGTGTGCACACCCTTAAACTAATACTTTGTTTGAAGCACCTTTTTGATTTAATTATAGCACTCAGTCTTTTTGGGTATGAGTCTATCAGCGTGGCACATCTTGATTGGCAATATTTGCCCACTCTTCCTTGCAAAATCACTCCAAATCTGTAAGATTGTGGGGGCATCTCCTGTGCACAGCCCTCTTCAGATCACCCCACAGATTTTCGTTCGGATTCAGGTCTGAGCTCTGGCTGAACCATTCTGAAACTTTAATCTGGTGAAGCCATTCCTTTGTTGATTTGGATGTATGGTTTGGGTCATTGTTATGCTGAAAAATGAAGTTCCTCTTCATGCTCAGCTTTCTAGCAGAAGCATGAAGGTTTTGTGCCAATATTGACTGGTATTTAGAACTGTTCATAATTCCCTCTACCTTGACTAAGGCCCCAGTTCCAGCTGAAGAAAAACAGCCCCAAAGCATGATGCTGTCACCACCATGCTTCACTGTGGGTATGGTGTTCTTTTGGTGATGTGCAGTGTTGTTTTTGCGCCAAACATATCTTTTGTTATTATGGCCAAAAAATTCAGCCTTGGTTTCATCAGACCATAACACATTTTCTCACATGCTTTTGGGAGACTTCAGATGTGTTTTTGCAAAATTTAGCCGGGCTTGGATGTTTTTCTTCGTAAGAAAAGGCTTCCGTCTTGCTACTCTACCTCATAGCCCAGACACACGAAGAATACGGGAGATTGTTGTCACGTGTACCACACAACCAGTACGTGCCAGATGCCTTTGCAGCTCCTTTAATGTTGCCGTAGGCCTCTTGGCAACCTCCTAGACCAGTTTTTTTTTTCTTGTCTTCCTCAATTTTGGAGGGACGTCCAGTCCTTGGTAATGTTACTGTTGCTCCATATTTTCTCCACTTGATGATGACTATGTTCCATGGTATCTAATGCCTTGGAAATTCTTTTGTACCCTTCTCCTGACTGATACCTTTTAACAGTGAGATCCCTCTGATGCTTTGGAAGCTCTCTGCAGACCATGGCTTTTGCTGTAAGATGCATCTAAGAAAATGTCAGGAAAGACCTACTAGAACAGCTGAACTTTATTTGGGGTCAATCAGAGGCACTTTAAATGATGGCAGGTGTGTACTGACTCCTATTTAACAGAATTTTGAATGTGATTGCCCATTTCTGAGCACAGCTACATCCCCAGGTATAAGAGGGTGTGCACACTTATGCAACTACATTATTTTAGTTTTTTATGTTTACTCTCTCCCCCCCCCCCCCCCCCCCCCCCCGAAAAATATTTCATTTTTTTTTTTCAACAGAGTTGCATAGTTTATAGGTAACATTTAAAGGTGGAAAAAGTTCTGAAATTATTATTTTTTTTTTTTTTTACATCACAGAAACCTGACATTTTAATGGGTGTGTAGACTTTTTGTAGCCACTCTACAGACATTTATATATTATGATTAGTATTGGTATTCAAAGTGCTCAACCCTCGTGGCTTTAAAATCTTATATATACTACTCTTCCCTTCTCCCTTTATGAATTTGAAGAGTCAACCTTCAAGGGGTCCTCCTAAATCAGCTAATTGGAATGCAATGTTTCAGAAATACAACTGTGACTGAATAGCAAGACAAATATAAAGGAAACAAATCTGTTAAATCCAGGGATATTTGTTCTATTGAAATAGCCTTTGGTGTTGTCTTATGAGTAGATGCCTGTTAGTACAGTATTCACAGCATGCAGTGGTAAATCCGTGGTGTTGTAGTAACAGGCTGGCCGGTGGTCTCTGTATCTTTATATTTAAATATTTTTTTCACCTCTTTCTAGTTGGGTTTATTCTTTGTCACGGAATACTAAACACAGATGCCACTGCGCTGAATCTTTGGAAACTTGCCCTTCAGAGCAGTTCCTGCCTTTGCCTTTACAGAGATGAAGTTTTCCATATCCACAAGGCAGCAGAAGACCTCTTTGTCAACATCAGAGGGTATGTCACTGACAAAATAGATTTAGTGTTGACTTGATGTTTGAAAATGCAAGCTCTAATGATTTCCTAGCCTATTAATATGCAGAAAAAAATAAACTTTAAACCAATACTTTTCATTTTTCATGCAATCCCTGTAAAAGCCTAGGGAAGTTCATGCAAACTATGTGATTAGCTGTAGCCTAGCCAATCACAGATCACTAGTATTCACAGCTGTCATGAATTTGACCAATTCATGATCTTTGTTGTGCCAGCAAGCAAAGTGTAAAAAAGAAAAAAAAACCCAAACCCTCTTCCTGAGTAGTACAGTTAATACATTGAACTACTCTGACAAAAGTATTAAAAAAAATTGTAAAAAAAAAAAATAAATAAAAAAAACAATATTTAAAATATTGAACAAAAACATTTTTTTAATTTTTTCAACATACTGTCACCAGTCTGTCTTTTATCACCGCCACACCAATCATATCATATGATGCTGTACGGTGACTGTAAAATTATTTTTTTTTCCTTTTCCAAACAAGTATGACAAAAAAATGTAAAACTTCAAAAAACTCGCCATGCCTGTTACTAAATGCTGCATACTGTCAGCTTTCCAGAAAAAGGTAATTTTGGCATGTATGTACTGTATTGTTATTTTAAAGGGATAAGGTTTAACAAAGAGCACATAATGAGAAATCAATCAGGATTAATGTATTTTCAATAATCTTGGGGTTCTTGGTAGATTTGTTTCAGATCTGCGCAGTAATCCATCTGTAAACATTTTATTTGCACTAGACTCCCCCCGCGTGTCCCTCTGATTTTCTTCAGGCCTTTACTGAGTGGACCTTCTGGGTTTCTTTCTCAGCTCTATCTGAACAGGTTATGTGCAGAACAGTGATGATGTCGCTGGTACTTTACAAGGAAATGGCTGGGTTTCCAAAGACATTCACACAATGTGGATATATATCCCTTGTGTTTGTTCAGAAATATGTGCAAAAATAGTGTGTGCCTCAAGTTTAGCTTTAGGAGATTTCACACATGTAAAACCTTGTGTTACATTGATTGTGTGCTCATTAAATGGTGCAGCTCCCACATTCCAACCTCTGACAGTTGTGGCTAATCAACACGTGTCGTTCGGGCTGGTCCTCCCCACCATCCAGCCAAATATCCAATAGGGGAGAAGCTCTGAGCTCCACACGTAAGACTGGCAACATGTAGGGCACTGAATTGCTGCTCTATTATATATAGCACAATAGAGATGTGAACTTTGCAGATTAAAAAAAATTGCTAGTCATTCTGCTGTGCAAGAGTATATACTTAGTATTCTTTTGCTGTGCCTTCAGTGCATCTTATAGCTCCACTGATATACGTAATATCCGCTATATCCCCCTAATTATTCCTCCATAAATTACACTTTGTGAAGTCACAAAAAACAAGAATACTACATTTTTCAGGGATGTGACTTTATACTTGTAGATCAGACCCTGTGCCTTTTTTACCTGGTTTAAATAAGTGAATAAATTAGCAGCAACCTGATTTGGGTTTGGCAAAGCGTCCATAAAACATTTTTTGTGGCCCTAATTTCACATCGGCTAATATAGTGCAGCTAAGTTTGGGATCCAGTTATTATACAGTAATTATGCATAAAGATGTAATGACGAGAAAGAGGACAGTGATCACCCGTCACTGTGTTGCATTTTACAGTGGTGCCAGTTTGCAGGCTGAGACTCGCTGACATGAGTTTTTGGTGCCATGATGGAATTTGTAGTAAACCAAAAATTTGTTATTTCCGTCAATATACAGTGAATAACTTCTATTTGTGAGTGGTCCATAAAGCTCAGTGCTTGTGTGTAAGACAGGTTTGATTCTCAATGGGCTCCCATGGAACACTATAGTATTTGTTAAAGCAGACAATTTGAGGTTTGTAGGTATACAACCCAGTATATTGCTGACATTTGAGAGTTTGTCGCTTTGTGCTTCTTTGTAGCACATGATTGATTTTGTATTTATTTAACAGTTACAACAAAAGAATAAATGACATCAGAGAGTGCAAAGAGAACGCCATATCACATGCGTAAGTAAATTATGTATATTTTTGTTTTTTTCTTTCGTGTGTCTCTCCTCATGTAATGAGACTAATTTTACAGACAATTATAATCTTATAATGTTAAAGCACATTTTTTTTTTATATTTTCCATGAGATTAACAGTGATTGTAGTATGTAGGAGATACTGACCTTTTTTTTTTTTTTTTTTATTATTATTCAAGTGGTGCAACACATAGGGAGAGGCGCAAATTCTTAAGATCTGCCCTAAAGGAACTTGCAACAGTTCTTTCCGATCAGCCTGGTTTGCTCGGGCCCAAGGTATGTAATGTGCAACTGTATAATGTACCGGTGATTGTGCTGAGGTGTTTTATGTGTGTGTATATATATATATATATATATATATATATATGGAAACATTATTTGATTCCCCCTGCAGATTTTGTATGTTTGCCTACTTACAGAGAAATGCACGGTCTATAATTATATATCATTATATATCATTTAAAATACACCTATGATCTATGATAAAAATTATAATTTTTATCATAGATCTTAGGTGTATTTTAAATGATAGAGACAGCATATCAACCAAAAATCAAGAAATAACACGATACAAATGTTATAAATTAAGTTGTAGTTCAGTGATTAAAATAAGTATTTGATCCCCAAGCAAAACATGACTTAGTACTTGGTGGAGAAACCCTTGTTGGCAAGCACAGACATAAGACCTTTCTTGTAGTTGGTTACCAGGTTTGCACACATCTCAGGAGAGATTTTGGTCCAATCCTCTGTACAGATCTTCTCTAAATCTTTGAGTTGCCAAACGACAGCCAAGAAACCTTAAAGTTTCAGCTCTCTCCATAAATTTTCTATTCGATTAATGTCTGGAGACTGGCTAGGCCACTCCATGACCTTTAATGTGCTTCTTCTTCAGCCACTCCTTTGTTGCCTTGGTGGTATGTTTTGGGTCATTGTCATGTTGGAAGAGCCATCCATGACCCATCTTCAGTGTTCTGGCTGAGGGAAGAAGCTTCTTATCCAAGAAATCACAACACATGGCCCCGTCCATTGGCCCCTCGATGTGGCAAAGTCGGCCTGTTCCTTTAGCAGAGAAACAGCCCCAAAACATAATGTTTCCACCTCCATGCTTGACTGTAGAGATGGTGTTCTTAGGGTCACAGTCAGCATTTTCCTTCGTCGAGGGAAATTGATGGTTATTTTGTATTTCCTCCATTTGCGGATAATCTCTCCAACAGTTGTCTCCTCCTTCTCACCAAGCTTCTTGCTGATGGTCTTGTAGCCCATTCCAGCCTTGTGCAGGTCTACAGTCTTGTCCCTGACGTCCTTTAACAGCTCTTTGGTCTTGCCCATGGTGGTGAGGTTTGAATGGAAGAAAGATTTTGTGGAGAAGTGTCTTTTATACACTTTAGGAGTTGTTGTTAGGAGCACCTTCTTAAATTGACAGGACTAATCTGTGTACCACATGAGCACATAGCCAGTTTGTGAGAGCCAGAATTATTGTTGGTAGGGGATCAAATACTTACTTCACTCACTGAACTGCAACTCAATTTATAGCATCCTAGAAATTATAGACCCTTTCATTTCTTTGTAAGTGGGCAAACTTACAAAATCTGCAGGGGATCATATAATAATTTTTGCCATTCTATATGTTGTGGGTTTAGAAAATAATTTCCCCCCCCCCCCCTCCTTTTACAATCGTATTTTGTTGCTTTGCAGCCTGAAATGAGGACGCACCATTTTTGTTTTATCTAGCTATATTTACTCAGTGCAGCTTATATGAAAGATAGAACACCAAAATGTCAAGGGGAAAAAAAAAAGGATCACCCCCCTCCTAAAAATGATTTGTAAACTCAATCGGGTATAGCTAATCACCATCTTAATTGCACACAAAGCCATTTGACTTTCAACAGTGATCAGCTGTGGTCATTTTGATTAGCTCAGCATGAAAAGAGCTTTCCTGGAGCATTTCAGTCCCTGATAGTGCAACTGAAGCAAACAATCAACTAGGCAACAAGGCACTGTCAAAAGATCTCCGGGATAAAGTTGTGGACAGGCACAAGTCATGAGATGGATACAAAAAAAGTCAAAGGCTTTGTCAATGCCTAAAAGAACAGTGAAGTCTATTATTATGAAGTGGAAGGTATTTGGTACAACACAGACCCTCCCTGGATCAGGACGTAGCTCCAAACTGGATGCAAAAGCCAGAAGGAAGCTGGTCAGAGGCTACCAAGAGGCCTACAGCAAATCTGAAGCAGTTTCAGGAATGTATGACAAAGCGTGGTCATTGTGTGCATGCGACAATGTCACAAATTCTCCACAAATGTGGCTTGTATGGGAGGATTTCAAGAAAAGAAGCAAGCAACACTTCGAAGGCCGTTTGCAGTCACAACTGAACTTTGCCAAAACGAACCTTTACGATTTTGAGGCCACATGGAAAAAGGTGCTCTGGTTCGATGAGACTAAAATTGAATTATCTGGCCTCAACACTAAATGATATACCTGGTGGAAATCCAATACAACTCACCATCCAAATAACACCATTCCTACCGTAAAGCATGGAGGTGGTAATATCTTATTATGGGGGTGTTTTTCTCTGCAGTAGGGACTGGAGCACTTGTCAGGATAGAGCAGAAAAATGAATGGGGCAAAATACTGTGAAATTCTTGAGATAAATCTGTTGCCCTGTGTCGTAAAGTTGTCAATGGGAAGAAGGTTTATCTTCCAACATGACAATGACCCAAAGCACACAGCAAAAATGACCACACTGTGGTTGAAGGAGAAAAAGGTGAACGTCCTTGCATGGCCTAATCAGAGCCCAGACTTAAACCCCCTTGAAAATCTGTGGAATGACATGAAGACTGCAGTCCACGAACGGTCACCATCAAATTTAACAGAACTTGAGCAGCTCTGAAAAGAAGAGTGGGCAAATATTGCAAAGCCTAGATGTGCAAAGTTAGTAGAGTTTTATCCCAACAGACTAAAGCAAAAGACAAAAGATGGTTCAACAAAATACTAACACAATGGGGTGATCATTTTTCCAACTCCGTGATTCTGTTTTTGATATTTTGTTTAACTTTTTCTTTTCTTTCTTTTTTTTTTTTTTTGGAAATACAGGTGGATAAAATAAACTATGATTGTCTTCATTTTCAGACTGCAAAGCAACAACATGTGATTAGTTTAAAGGAGGGTGATTATTTTCTATACCCACTGTATGTATAAAATATACAAATATGTTCAGTGGTTTAGAAACCCAAGTAGACTCCTAGTTTATGATGTCACTAATTCTTGTCAAAAGGAAATGCATTTTAAGATAGTTTATTGGCAAACCGACTATAGTAAATGGTAGTCTAATTGTGGTCCTGTTTAAAATGTAAAATATATTTTGTGGGCCACTTGCATAAAGCACATATTCAGCTGGTGTCAGGAGGGGAGCAGCACAGCCTGCAAAGAATTTGATTTACAATCATGAGGATATTCTCTCCTATATGCAAATCAACCACATGTATCTTTCTTCTAGGCACTTTTTGTATTCATGGCATTGTCATTTGCCCGAGATGAAATTATCTGGTTACTTCGGCATGCGGATAACATTCCAAAGAAGGTTGCAGATGATTTTATGGATAAGTGAGTCACATGCTTTATTTTGCCAAAATTCCTTTATTTCATGTGTATATATGAATAAGTTGTTATTTTTCAAACACGTTTTCTTTCCACATTGAATGAGACTTGTGATGCCACCTTACTAGAACTGGTTCCTAACAACATAAGACTGTAGCTATAGCAAAAGCTGATCATGCAAATGCTGTGGGGCCTGAAAATGCCGGAGTTGTGTTTTAAATACTTTCACAGTAATTTATCAAAGTAACAACAGCTGCACTTGGCAGAAAAATCTGGATAAATTTAAAGTGTTTGCAAAGGTTAAACTTTTTTTCTTTTTTTTTTTTTCTTTTGGTATATAGTAGGGAAGATGTTTCCTTCACCCCTATATTCGAACTGATATCTTTTGTCACTGAGAGAGAAATTGAGGGGAAATCCAAAATTTTAGAGTTTCCATCAGAACAAGAGCTAAAGGAAAGACATCTAATGGGGAAACCTGTTTAAGGTGGATGTTACCGTCACTTTGTGGAATTTCCTTTTAACTTTCTATTGTGTCTCTGGGACAGGAAGTGAAGGGAAATTTCCCAATGGTAGATAAACAGCACAAAAATAACCTGGCAGGGGTTTTACCATTCTCTACTGTATACAAAACCTAAAGAGTTTCTTTCACATTTAGGAACGTGGGAATTCAGATAGTGAGGTTTATAGTGCCACCTACAGCTAGAGTGAACACTGGAAGGCAGAAAGTATTGTAAGCTAGCCCCTCCTCTACCCAGCATGCCTCAGTTTTTGCTAGTGTGTTCACAGGGTGTGCACCTATTCAGCTTTGTTGTGAAAAATCTAACCTAATTTACTAGCTATTTCATTTTTCTTTCATTTTTTTTTTTTTTTTTTTTTTGTTTGTTTTTTTTTTTTTCCCCACAGACCGCTTCTTTGCTACTTCATTTCTTGAGCTGGTCTCCACATGGCTACTGTTTAGCTTGGCCTTCCTCAGCTTAGCGTTGGGTTGCAGTTCCAAGACCCCACTGAACTTAGACATGCAGGGCTAGCCTGGAATGTAACCTTCAGCAACTGGGCTCTGTATTTTGGTGCTTACCAGACCTTAGTATGTGGGTAAAAGTTGGCATTGAACACTTCCATTGCACAGCCTCACATGTGACCCTGTCTTTGAAGACTCACCCTATAAGGCTGTTGGGGCTGAAGCACAGGGAGCTATGTCACTATTTGCACCACTTGGCACCTTTGAAATTTCCCACTAATGTAGGGGTGCTCAACCCATAGAGCCTTCTGATGTGGGACTGGACCTCAAACTGAATGCAGGAGTTTTGATGAGCTGTCAGTGCGCCACACTTTCAAGATATAATAGAAATCTATGTCAAAGTGCAGCTAACTCTCAGAAAAGCCACAGGTGTTCTGTGCTGCACCTGCGGTGCAGGTAAATGCAGCGCATTAGTGTGAAAGCGGCCTTCTTTTCCTCTCCCTTCCACCGGCATTCAGTGGCTGCAAGAAGAAAAATCTTGAAATTCTGAACCGTTTCATTGTGGCCCAGGATCTGTTGCCAAATCACTTAAGTGCCCCTCACTCTTCAAAAGGTAGAGCACCCCTGCACTATTTAATGCAGAGGGACTGAGTGCTGATGTTATCAACTGAATGGAATGTCATGCGTCCTTGCACTCTTTCCTGCCATTCGGCATAGAAGAAAAATCCTGCTGCTATTCCTGCTGGAACTATGGTCTCTAGTCTGTTCCCACTGCCCACCTACAGTTACCTGGTCACTTCTGTCCATGCCGATCCTCATCAGCATTTGCTTAGGGGGGCATTTCTGTTGCTTGGGGTGGCCCAGTCCATATTTCTCTAGTGGTCTACTTGGTATCCTCTGAGGCAACTGGTCCCTACTACCTGGAACCTGGTGTCCCTATAGTTATAGGGTCGTATCTTTGCAGTCTTTCTCATTTTCTTTGTGTGAGGCTAAGTCTTCTCCTTTGTTAGAAGGCAGCAGACCCTGGCTTCCTGTTGCAGATGCCTTCTTCTGGGAGTAGTGTATGTTTGGAGAACTTTGTGGGACTATTCTCCTAGGAATGGATCCTCCTTCCTTCGCTGCACCACAGCCTCCTATGGAATGTCCTCCAGATGCCTTCTCTTGCTCTGGCATTAATCTGGCCAATACTGTTAGCAGTTCTGCTAAGATTTCTCTCCCTTGATTTGATGCATTGCTGGAACTGGGGGAATCAGAAGTTTCTCAGATTCTCAGACCCATGGCTGTAGTATGGTGTAGGCAGGCGTTGCAAAGTTTTCAGCAAGGCCCAGCAACACTCCAGGGTGACTAATTTCAGTACTTTATCATAAAGTTAGGCGTATGACTCATTCCATCCAAGGTTCTGCTTATAGCTTGTTTCTATTGGGGATTATTTCCAGTGTTTTTTTGTTGACTACTCCAGGTGATGCATTTCTTCTGTTGTTCCACCTGTTTCAGTGGATTTTCTTGTTGCTTCATTGCTACTGTTGGGGTTCCCTTACATGTAGTTTCTTCTGGTGGAAACCTTCTCTATCCTTGAAACTTCAGGCTGGTTTTCTGAGCTCTCTTTGCCCAGGATGACTGGTTCCCCTGTCTGGCAGGGGTTCCACTTTTTTCAAATCTGGGCATTGGTCCTCCACTTCTGGGCTGTACACAATACCCAGGCTTCCTTGGGAGGCTTTTTCATACTTGTTGCTGTGTTGCCCACCCCTCAGTTAAACTACTTTCGGACATTCTGACTGTATCTGAATTCCTGTGCCCCTTGTTCGTCAAGAAAGGAAATAGGATTATTGCTCTTACCATACAGTCCATACTGGTTCCATTTTTTTTTTTTTTTTTTAATTTGCATATTTTTTTCCCCACAAAGCTGAGACATGCTGATTAGAGGAGGGGTTGTACTCGGGCTGGCTAATAGTGTTTTTTTTTTTTTTTTGCCAGTGTCCAATCCTTCTGTAGGCTTCATTATTATGTCTAACTGTGTCTGAATTACTGTGTCCTTCAATAGACTCCAATGAAAAGATTTTAAGGCTGAAGGGGGGGAAAAAAATCTCTATATATACGCTTTAATCTACCTACAGTTAGGTCCATATATATTTGGACACATTTGTATTTACCAAACCATATTCAAGCTATAGTTATATAATGGATTTGGGCTGAAAGTGCACACTCTCAGGTTTAATTTTTAGGGTATGTACATCCAAATTGGAGGAAGGGTTTAGGAATTACAGCTCTTAAGAGTAGCCATGCCCCCTTTTTCAAGTGACCAAAAGTAATTGGACACTTGAATATAATCATAAATAAAATGTTCATTTGTAATATTTTGTTGAGAATCATTAACTGGCAATGACTGCCTGAAGTCTGGAACCCATGCACATTACCAAAGACTGGGTTTCCTCCTTGCTGATGCTTTGCCAGGCTCTAACTGCAGCTGTCTTCATTTGTTTTTTTGTTTGTGGGTCTTTCTGCCTTTAGTTTTGCCTTCAGCAAGTGAAATGCATGCTCAATTGGGTTGAGATCAGGTGATTGACTTGGCCATTGCAGAATATTTTCTTTTTTTTCCTTCAAAAGCTCCTGGGTTGCTTTTGCGGTGTGTTTTTTGGATCATTCTCCATCTGTACTGTGAAGCGCCGTCCAATCACCTTTGCTGCATTTGGCTGAATCTGGGCTGACAGTATATCTCTAAATACTGCAGAATTCATCTGACTGCTTCTGTCACATTTTCAATAAACACCAATGACTCAGTGCCACTGGAAGCCATGTATGCCCATGCCATCACACTGCCTCCACCATGTTTTACAGATGACATTGTGTGCTTTGGATCATGAGCTGTTCCAAGCCTTCTCCACTTTTTTTTTTTTTTTAAACTTACAAGTCTTGGCCCCTCCTCATCCTTTGACTGGAGAGAGAACAAGAAAGCAGCAAGCAGATGAGATATCACTGTCATTCTGTCAACATGTACCTTGTTTGCACTAAAGCACAAAAAAAAGTTTAAAGATGTATTAATGAATATTTCATTGGTTGAATACCAGATTTGCCTATAAAAATATATTTTTCTTAGTATTACATTTTTCTTCAAAGTGACAAAATGCAGTTTTTTAAAAAAATCTTACCTTTTCCTTTAAAGTGACCCCAACGCTGGTCTGAGTCCTAGCAAATTGATGAATCCTACTGTTATGCATGCTTTAAATGTTAGTTTGATGAGGTTGTATGCTAGTTTATCCAAAACATTCATGCAGTTCCCTCAGGTATAATTTTGATGTTTTAATTTTCCCCACAGGCACATTGCTGAACTTATTTTTTACATGGAAGAACTTCGGGCGCATGTCAGGAAATATGGACCTGTGATGCAGAGATACTATGTGCAGTACTTGTCTGGCTTCGATGCTGTGGTTCTTAATGAGTTGGTACAGGTAAGGGCGCTATGGATGTGGGCTACACACAGTATGTTTGCCATTTTTGTTTTGGCATCTTTGATTATGACTTAGTCTGTGTGGTTAATTTTAAAGCAAAAATGCTGAAGGACTAAAGTCATAGGTTTGCTACTTTAAAGTGTACATTAATTAAAATGTAAAACTCTGTGGGGGAAAAAATTTAGAATTGACACTTGAAACTGGTCACATAAATTATTTTCCTACCGTGTGTGCTTTAGAATTGGCAACAACTAGGTAGGGCAGTAGCAATGGCCTACTTGACTAGGTATAAATAATGTACATTTTGGGGGGTAAACTGAATATCTGTTGGAAAAATCTGATTGTAACTGTACAGTCATATTGTGATACTTGCAACAAACTTAATGCTCTAATGTAGCAGTCCATTTTTTTCACCTTCAGTCACTCCAGGGTGTCCTGGAGCACTACAAAGTGCCTATGTAAGTATCTTCTGTTAGTGGTAGCCTAACCAAGTCCCCTTGCGTGCATCTCACAGAACAGTACTTTAGGCCTGAGCAACCTGTCATCAGGTCTGGGCATTAAAATGTGGAATGCTGGAAGGCAGGCTTATGGTCAAGTTTCATGAAAATCAGGATTTGTGAAGGAACACATTAGGGGTAGGGGTGCACTCTGAAGGGACCGGTTGATGGTAAAGTATAATGTACGGTGGGGAAAATAAATATTTGATCCCGTGCAGATTTTGTACGTTTGCCCTTGTAAAGAAATTAAAGGTCTTTAATTTTTATCAAAGGTGTATTTTAAATGATAGAGAGAGAATATCAACCGAAAATCCAGAAAAACACTTGATACAAATGTTATAAAATTGAGGTGCAGTTCAGTGAGTAAAATAAATATTTAATCCCCTACCAACCAACAATAATTCTGGCTGCCACAGACTGCCTATGTGCTCATGTGATACAGAGTTTAGTTCTGTAAATTTTAGGAAGGTGCTCCTAACTACAACTAGTTATATGTATAAAAAGACACCTGTCCACAGAATTGTTTTGCCATTCAAACCTCACCAAGAGCAAGACCAAAGAGCTGTCAAAGGATGTTAGGAATAAAACTAGACCTGCACAAGGCTGGATTGGGCTACAAGACCGTCAGCAAGCAGCTTGGTGAGAAGGAGACAACTGTTGGAGCGATTATTCGCAAATGGAAGAAATACAAAATAATTATCAATCACCTTTGGTCTGGAGTTCCATGCAAGATTTCACCTCATGGGGTAAGGGTTATCATGAGAAAAGTGAGGGATCAGCCAAGAACTACACAGGAGGAACTTGTGAATGATCTACCACAGTCACCAAACAATCCATTGGTAACACAATATGCCACTATGGATTGAAATCGCCCACAAGGTTCCCCTCCTCAAGAAGGCACATGTACAGGCCCATCTGAAGTTTGTCAATGAACATCTAAATGATTCATAGAAGGATTGGGAGAAAGTGCTGTGGTCAGATGAGACCAAAATTGAGCTCTTTGGCATTAACTCGACTCGCTGTGTTTGGAGGAAGAAAAATGCTGACTATGACCCCAAGAACACCATCCCTACAGTCGAGCACTGAGGTGGAAACATTATCCTTTGGGGCTGTTTCTCTGCTAAAGGTACAGGCTGACTTTGCTGCATTGAGGGGGCCAATGGACAGAGCTATGGATTGTAAAATCCTGGGTGAGAACCTTCTTCCCTCAGCCAGAACACTGAAGATGGGTCTTCCAGCATGACAATGACCCAAAACATACCACAAAAGGCACCAAAGGAGTGGCTCAAGAAGAAGCATATTAAGGTCATGGAGTGGCCTAGCCAGTATCCAGACCCTAATCTTATGGAAAAATTATAGAGGGAGCTGAAACTTCAAGTTGCCAAGCAACAGCCAAGAAACCTTAAAGATTTAGAGAAGATCTGTAAAGAAGAGTGGACCAAAATCCCTCCTGAGATGTGTGCAAACCTGGTAACCAACTACAATAAATGTCTTACCTCTGTGCTTGCCAACAAGGTTTCTCCACCAAGTATTAAGTTATGTTTTGCTTGGGGATCAAATATTTATTTTACTCACTGAACTGCAATTCAATTTATAACATTTTTATCGTGATTTTTCTGGATTTTTGGTTGACATTCTGGCACTGTCATTTAAAATACACTGCTTTATAAAAATGTATAGACTTATTTATTTGTAAGTGGGCAAACCTACAAAATCTGCAGGGATTCAAATAATTATTTTCCAAATAATTATTTTCCACACTGTATGTGGCCTAGACAGTGCTTTTCTTAGTCATACAGTACAGGACACAGGCTGGATATTCATAGACCCTGGGTTATAGGCTGTTACCTTAAGGTGACTAGACTCTGGCAAAACTTCTTGACTCCTGTTACCCTACCCAAATTTGTTAGACCTCAGTTTTTGTAGTGTCCGGTAGGTGATGGACTTATTCTCCCTAATGGAGAAGTCTCTATGCTTAAAGAGTTCTTATTCACTTGGAAACTTTTCAAACAAATCTTCACGGTCTTATAACACAATAGAAGCAGTGCGTCTGGTTTGGTGCAGCTTCAGTAATACTGTGAGATCTGTCCCCAACCCTACGTTGTTGGGATGGCCTATAATGTTGCTTTGGGATCTTGCTTTGCACTCACTTTGACACAACATGCGTAGATCCTGAAGACCTCCCTGGTGTTATGCCCACTTTGATGGGCAGGGCCTGTACCCATACTAGACCCGGCAATGTGAAAAAAATAAGACTGGTTTGTCCTGTTGTAAGACTGTTTCTGTACCCTTCTATTAAATGAGTCTTCATATCACCACCACTTGCAGTACACTTACTGTATTAATGTCTTCTGAATAGTATTTATTTTTACAATTTAAATGATCAGGAAAGCGAGAATTATGTTTGACTTATTTCAGTGTATTAGGTGTTTTAAACTTTCAAACTTGGCGGTAAAATTTCCAATGGAGAAAACCAGGTGCAAGGGAACTGTAGCAAAAGCTCAGGCAAACATTCGCTTCGCCGTTGAAGTGCAAGGCACTCAAACAACTCTGAGTGATGTTGCGTCCCTTTTTTAACACTGGTCTCAGTGTTCAATTCTAGCTAGTTCTATCTCAGGCGCACAACAATTGGCCTATCTGACCAAGGCATATTTCTCTAAACTCAGAATTTCTCAGATCACTGTCATTCACACCCACAGCAGAAGGATCCATATTTCCTCTCTTCTTGGGTTTCTACTCCATCAAAATGCAGAGCACCACACTGTTTTCTTCAGGCTTCATTTTCAAAGCCAAAATTTGGCTATCGGCACAAGAGTTGGAACACAGAGCCTACAAAGTCTGACTAAAAGGCATCTCCACAACAATGTGGTGCCCTCACTCCTAACATTGTGCATTAATCTGAGTCACAGACCTATGCGTTCTATTGGTGATTTTCCAAGCAGTATAAAATAGTGTCTACTCCCCCCCTCATCTTTTTCATCTCTCAAACCAACCAAAATATGACCAAGAACAGCCAGAGTTACTGACTGCCCGGGAACAATCTGTTGTCACGAGAAGTGATGGTGGATCTGGAGGACAAGTTCAAAGAATTCTATTCAAACCTGTTCATGGCACCAAAAGCTAATGGGGGTGATCGTCCTGTCCTGGACTTAGAATTCCTAAACGTGTACCTTTTACATTCACAAGTTTCACATGGAATCCACAGGGGGGGTTATTGCCCCTCTGAGATGATGGGAATACTCAGCATTAGTAGACATTCAAGATGCCTACCTCCATATTCATACATACCTACCTCCATCTTAGCAGTAGCAGAAAACACACTTTGTATTTGTCTGTTTGCTATTTGGCCTATCTTCTACGCCCAGAGTAATCACAAAGGTACTTCGACCTCCCCCTCTCACTCGCTCTTCTAATCACTCAGGACATCCGAGTTCACAGGGTACCTAGATGGCCTCCTGCTAAAGGATTTATCAGCTTTCCTTCCTTTCCTCTCTTACTTGTGTTCCTAAGCATCACAAGGAAATTGCCCTTCATTGTCTGGACTGTCTGGAGCTGTCAGGGTCTATCTGAGAGCTACAGGCTCCATACAAAAGTTAATTCTTTATCTTGTGAAGAGTCTTGAAAAGGACACCCTACTTACAAGTTGTCGTCCTATCCACCTGGAAATAGTAGACTTGAAAGTGCTTATACTCTGAAGTGCACGATACCTTCAATACCCTGCCGTGCTTACTCTGCTAGATCATTAGTGGTTTCCTAGCATTCTGACATAAGCGTCTGTTGCTTAGCTTTATAGGTTCTACATGGTGGATGGCCAGGCCTTTGCAAATGCAGCTTTCAGCTGCAAGGGTCTTTTGACCTTTTTTATTTTATTGACCCCATTGACATAGTTCTTTTTGCCTTTCTGTTGCCCACCCTTCTGATTCATTGTTTGAGGACATGGTCTATGAATATCCAGCCTTTGTCCTGTACTGGACAATTAAGATAAAATGGATTCTGACTTGCCTGTAAATTCCTTATCTTTGAGTAAAGGACACGGCCAACCCTTCTGTTCCTGTGTTACTTTGCATTGCTTGCTAAAAACTAAGGAAATAATTCCTGACTTCTATTCACACTTCTGTCTTTGGGTATTGCGCATTTAGGAAATCCTGCTTGCTGCATTTTTGATGTCTACAGCAAATAGGTCATCTATAGCGATGAAAGGGCAACACTCAAAATGTATCTAAACTAAGGTATGAATGTAGTCTTGGAGGCTCTTCATATAATTATTGCATGATGCACACCATGTGTGTTCATTGAGCATCTTGGACCATTCTTTGCACCTTGTTTCTCTATTGATAGTTACTGAATAGGTTTACGCCTTCCTCAGAATCCTTCCCTGTGAGCTGAACTCTGAATCACTGGCTAGGCAAGAGGAAAGCCTCAGCAAAGCCTCTTTTGTGGAAGAAAATATTGATGGGGTATAATAATATCCTATTGTAATTATAATTTACTGGATAACCATCTTTGATGAAGTTTAAACAAATGAAAGTGGCCAAACAGCGAAATTGTTTCTGAAGACTTTTTTTGCACACTAGATGGCACTGTAGCTTTATGGATTTTTCTCCTCCATTTAAAAGAAAAACAAAAAACACTTTTCGTTCAGGAAAAACATTCAAGAATATTTTTACTACATAGCCTATTGATCTTATATTTGAAGAACACATTGCTTTAATTCTAATTAGAAAGTAAAAATAGCAATTTGTAGCACAACAGTTCCCCAAATATAAGTTTTAGTAATATTTGCATTATTGAGACGGGTTGGCTAGGTAAATGATTGGACGTATGATTAAGATAATTGGGGATAAATGTCTGAAATTGATCATTTTTTTTTTTTTTATCTCTTCAGAATCTCTCCGTATGCCCAGAGGATGAATCAATTATCATGTCCTCTTTTGTAAATACAATGACATCTCTGAGCGTAAAACAAGGTAAAATATTAATACATTTCTCTCATACTGTTGCACCTAAGGTATTCCATTTATATATACATTCAACGGCCACTTTATTAGGTACACCTTGCTAATGCCAAGAAAATATCCCCCACACCATTACACCACCACCAGCATTAACCGTTGACACAAGGTAGGATGGATCCATGTTTCATGTTGTTTCTGCCAAATTCTGACCCTACCATCTGAATGTCTCAGCTGAACCAGTCTGCCCATTCTCCTCTGACCTCATAAGGCTTTTTTATCCACACAACTGCTGCTCACTGGGTATTTTCTCTCTTTCGGACCATTCTCTTTAAACCCTAGAGATGGTTGTGCGTGAAAATCCCAGTAGATCAACAGTTTTTGAAAGACCAGGCCTGATACTCGGCTTGAACTTCAGAAAGTCGTCTTCACCACATGTCTAAAAGTCTTGAGTTTCTACATGTGATTGGCTGATTAGCAGTTTGTGTTACCAAGCAATTGAACAGGTGTACCTAATAAAGTGGCCGGTGAGTGTACTTAAACATTGGCTAGAATACAGATTATACTCTTTACCAGTCCCCCATCCTCAGGCTTTGTCATCTCAATGCCCAGATGAGCAGTAGGTATTTGAAAAGACCTCGTACTATTCTCCCACAATGCAGCGTATTCTGTGAATGGAGGAGTAGTAAATGAATGACAGGATCCCCACCTCCCCAGGTTTTAAGAATGCAATTCATTTTAGGAGAATAAAAGTATAGGCCTATGGCAGAGAGGACAAAAGGGGAAGGTGACCAGCACAACTCTTCACACTGGCAGCAGCTGCTTTTAACCCATACAGCACTGGGAGACAGTCAATTCAGGCAACATGCTGCAGATATGAAGGTTTTAAGAAGGGAGCCTGCAGGACATGGGATAAATTCTCATTAGATGTTACTGTGTGTTTGGTACTTTACCCTGTAAAAAAAAAAAATAAAACTTCAGCTTTAATGAATATCCAATAAAACTATTAAGTAGTATGTTAAACATTTTGCTTTAAAAATGATGCTGACGTATTTTGTCTTGATTATGGCACCGCTAGATCGTTGACCCACCAATGAGAAGGATTTATTTGAGGCACAAAATACTAGATTAGTATTTCCTCATTTATCAGAAACTGCATATATGTCTCCAAATTACCTTTAAATCCAAGTTGCCAGAATGAGCTGTCATCTAGCAGTGTGTAGTATGGTCTTCCTCGGGCTGCCAGCACAAGTCACTATGTCAAAGGGCTTGATATGTGTTAAGGCAGAGCCACTAATTAGCTAGCTAAATGCTGTCCTTTGGCAGAGGGCATGTACTCTGCAGGCACAAATGCTATCAGCCGAGGAGACCCCAAAGCTGCTCCTGGTCAGAATTTAGATTTTTATTTTTGGCAGCTTAACAAAGATGACAGTGGCAGTGTAAAGCAACTTAGCGTTCTAAAAACCTTAGATATACAAGTACTTTAGTCAGAATTGAAAATTAAGCCCTAAAATGCATACAGGGATTCATATACTGCACCAGTACTCAACATTTCCTTTTGTTGGTAGCACCTGATTTAGATGCTGTATTTATCCCCTCAACTGCCTAACATATACAGCAAGCGTAAAGCGGAGCTCCAGCCAAATGGGAAATTTCCACTTTAAGGCTTTGGCCCCACTCCCCATTAAGGATTGACACCTTTGGGGAGCAGGGGGGAGCGGGTACCCGAATTTGACAGTTACCCTCTCCCACTTCCTCTGCGATCGCAAGCGGAAGTTGTCCTCCCCCCCCCTTCCCCGTAGGGGACCCCTGACAGGTCCTAGAAGACTATGGGACCATTCACAAAGCGCAGCTCTGCTCACACATACGCAGTGGGCATCCGGCTGTGAAACTGCAAGTTGTCACAGCTGGGTACCCACACTGAAGATGCCGGCGCCGGTGAAACCAGCCGTGGTGAGGACACCGCTGGACCGAGGGACAGGTAAGTGTCTGTATTTTAAAAGTTAGTGGCTACAGTTTTTTTAGCTGCTGACTTTTTTTTTTTTTTTTTCCATTCACCTGGAACTCCACTTTAAGGCTACGTTCACACTAGCCTTGTGTGCAGGCGGCAGAGAGGCGTTTGGGAAGCGTTTTTACCGCTTCCCAAACGCCTCTGCCAATTCTGCACATTACAGCACATGATGCTGTTCTAACAGGAGCGTTTGCGTCACGTTGCGTCGCGGCAAAACGGAAGCCTCTGGTCGAGTCAGGAGGCTTTGAAGCCTCCTATTCTCGTCTATGGTGCCGCTCCGCAAACGCCCAGCCGGCGGTTGCGACGCGGTTGCAGGGCGTTTGCGGAGCGGTAACACCACTCAAACTATATTATAGGCGTTTGTGGGGCGTTATTAACGCTCGGCAAACGCCTAGCAACCGCCACTAAACCGCGCATGCGGCGTTTGCGGAGCGTTAAAAAAACGCTCCGCAAACGCCGGACCAACGCTTGCCAAACGCTATAGGGGCATTTGGCAAGCGTTGGTAAAACAGCCAAGTGTGAACAAGCCCTTAATCTTAACTCCTGCAATGTAGCGATTATTTAAAATCTGCTGGCTTACTGTGGGATAAATCTAGTGAGGTGTATGCCATATAGTGCACTTATCTTTTATTTACAATTTACATTGTTAAAAAAAAAAAAAGAGTGGCTCTTCTTTCAAGGCTCTGATGCCGGACCTTCAGGTATTGGCTCCTGCAGCTGCAGAGTTGTGTGCCACTACTCTGCTCTCCTGTCCTCTTGCCCAGTCACAGAGCACTTTGTGTTATGTGAACCCATTTACAAAATACAAAGCCTTCTGTGAATGGACAGTGGAGAGGATGGGTGGGCAGAGTGGCTGCTGTGTGAGAAAGCAGCATTACTCCTGTCAGAGTGCCTGAAGTGTAGTGATAGCTGTGCTCCCAGCACTCAGTAAAACTGTAAATTGTACATGAGAGAAAGATCCGCAAGATGGCATACACCTACATAAGCTATTGTAAGCCAGCCATTTAAAAAGTAGCTAAGTTCTTGGGGTTCAGCTTTAGTTATATTAAAAAAAAAGTACCAAGAAATCTCTTGCATCCACCAATCAGATTCAAGTCTGCTAGGTGGTGGGTAGCAATGTTAGTGTTTTACTTGAAAGCATTAGTAGTTCACTATTGCTTTCACTTGTTGACTGGATTTCATTTTAGTAATTTTGTACATCAGTCTTTGTCTGAAACATTGGAACAATGTAAATGAAAGCCCAATTGAAGTTGCAGAATTTTAGCAATTTGGTTAGATCAATATAATCTGAACAAAGTTTAATTTTCTTATTACCTGCACTTTCCTATTAGAACAGTTGTGCAGTGTGACTAAATGTGAATGTGCAGGCGAGTAGGCCCCAGAGACTGCATTGCCTAGTGCATAGCATGCTCTCTTTCTCGGCAGTAAAGTCAGTCTTCAATGTGACACTTTAGATAACAACATTAGCGTGTGAGGGCAAGGAGCACATTTTCAGTACAATAGTCCATATTTTCAAGCATTTCCAAGGAAAATTTTGTTAGTTATAATCTATGATGGCACAGGACTCTACATGAAAGGTTTGAACTTCAATTTGAATTAAAGCCCGTTCACACTACATCCATTTTAGTTGCTTTTTTTCTGCATCCATAACTCACAGAAAGTAGGTTATATGGTTGTCAGTGTCATAGCTCACATCAGTGCTTGCAGTTCCAGTGCATTCCGGTTGCAGAAAAAAAGTAGAACATGCTGCATTTTTTCTGCACAGAACTGTACTGGAACATGGTAAAATGCACCGTAATGTACCAAAAATGCACTGGAGCGCACATATCCCTATTTCAATTGAATAAAAAGGGGAAAAATTAACTGGAATGTATAAAAACACACCGGAACACGTCAAATGCATCCAAAACACGTTTCTATAGCATGAACCGGCCCTAAGCTCCCAGTCACATCGGGTGCAATTTGCATGCCAGGCAACTTGCAAATCGTATGCCAAGTTGCACCCTATTGTTCGCCATTAGAGTGGTCATATCGTTGCGGTTTCAACTTGGTGGGAGCCGCACAGATTTCTTAAGTAGTACATACACTACTTTTGTTGCGATTTGCATAGACGTGTGTCAGATGTCCTGCAAATCACAAGGAAATCGGCAGGTCACCTGATTTTCACTTCACTGTAAGTCAAACGATTTCAAAATCGGCTTTGATGTGACCTGGGTGTTGAGCATTAAAGTACTTGCTGTGAAAGTTTCATGCTACATATAATTTCTGTGTCCACTGTGTAACTGATGACTTACTTAAGCCTCTCGTTTCTTACCTGGGATATGGTGAACAGTTCATTTTGTTGTCAAATTCACAGTTTGCTTGGACTTTTCTCCATCAGGAACAGGGTTGAATAGAGCCTTATATATTACCCATCTAAAATCTATATCTGAATTTGCATTAAGCGCTTTCTGTGTTCTCTTGTTTCTAGTTGAAGACGGGGAAGTTTTTGACTTCAGAGGAATGAGGTTGGATTGGTTCAGACTGCAGGTAATAAGCATTTCTAATTCTTGAGAGATTTCAATACAGTTAGCTAATTCTGTCATAAGTGAAACTAATGAAGGCGAAACTATGAAAGCTTGTTCACAATCCAAATACTACTGCTCTGGCACTCAATTTATATATGCATCCTAATAAATTTGAAGGTCACTTGATATATACTGTATATTCTTGCAGCTTCTCTGCACAAGCAATACCTTTTTTTTAAGCGTCTAAACCTCATTGTACTTTGAGAACAATTTTACTGGGGAGACGCCTTTCAACAATGCATACTGTGTATATACAATTTTCTTAGCATATAATACGCATTTAAAATTACTGACAAAAATGTTCTTTAAGACAGTGTTAGGAGTGAAAACATTGTGAAAGCAAGCAAGTGTTTAATGGTAAATAGTTGAATGTCACAGAAATAAAAAAAAAAAAAAAAACTATTCTAATGCTTAATTGTAAATAGTTTGACAATGCAGAAATTCTCACTGGCAAAGCTACCAAATGCAAACATTGGGTATGCACGTTACATTTTTCATAAACCTTGCTTTTGAACATTTTTAATGGGTGCCTTGTATGGTAGATTTTTGTTGATTATCACCTTACTCACTGACCTGGAACAAGTAATAAACAGAGGCAGTTTTCAATGGCTGCGTCCTTATTTTTGCTCAGTTACTTAAAGTATTGAATCTGGAAGATCAGCACTACAGCCAGGAAGCCAGAATTCTCATTGGTAGGTCAGTAACCATGACGGCTTTCCTTTAGGGGTAAGTGCCCTGCTCAGCAGATTTAGTAATGTACATTCTGTAGATTGAGTAAAACAAAGTTCTCTGACCATCCTGCCTAAGGCCAGCATGTTGTCTGTTGTCCTCCGCTCACAGCATGAATTGAAATCAAGCTTGTGATTCAGGCCTGGATGTAGAATGTGAACATCTTCATTATTAGCTCTATGAATATGTCCTGTGGCCAAGTACATGTACAACGTTTCACAAAATGCTAGAGCTGTTAAAGAAACAAACTATGCTGCTCTTGGGATATTAGAACTTTGCTTACTCAAATGCTTAGTTTAACCATTTGCCAATGGCCGTTTGGCGGCTTCAAATGTGTTGCTGCATTCCGGGTGCACGCCATTTGGCGTGCTCCCACACATGCGCAGTTTGCGCTAATGCAGAGCGGCGCAGCAGCGCAATCTGTCACCGGCCGTGTACCTTGGACATGGCCGATGACAGATCCGAGTACCGGCTCCCGTTGCTGGTACCATGTGACCTGCTGTGACCAATCACAGCAGGTCACATGACAGTTGTATACAATGGATGGCTTCATTCATGCCATCCATTGTATACTAGTGCCTAGCTGTGAATGGTCACAGCTAATCACATGCACATGTCATGTGATTAGCTGTGACCAAATCAAAGCTAGGCACAAAAAAAAAAAAAAAAAGCTGAATGAATCGATTTCATTCAGGTAAATGCTTGCTTATAGCCAAGTAATTCTTTGCTATAAGCAAATTGTATAAAAAAAATAAAAAATAAAAAAATAAAAAAAAAAAAATACTGATCACTTCCCCAAAGTAGTACAATGTTGTACTACTTTGGTTATAGTAAAATATGAAAAAAAATCTTAAAAAAAATAAAAAAAAGTAATAAAAAATTAAAAATAATTAAAAAAAAAAAAAAAAAATTAAAATATATATATATTTTTTTTTCATACTGTCACCAGTCAGTGTCCCTGTTCACCGCCATGCCAGTTATATGATGACTCTGTACTGCACTGGTGACAGTATATAAAAAAAAAAATAGTGAAAATAATTTTTTTCATTTTTTGCATTTTCCAAAAAATTATGACAAAAAAAATACAGCTTCAAAAAACTCGCCATGCCTCTTATAAAGTACGTCGGACTGTCTACTCTGCAAAAAGGGGTCATTTGGGGATATCTGTACTATTCTGACATTCTTGGACCTCAAGAAATTAGATTGGCCGTCAGTACTTCAGGATTGATCAATATTCAGATCTATACCATAGTTTGTGAACTCTATAACTTTCCTACAAACTAAATAATACATCCTAATTTGGGTTATTTTCACCAAAGACGTGTAGCAGAATACATCTTGGCCTAAATTTATGAAGAACAATTATTTATTTGTAAACTTTTATAAGAGAAACAAAGAAAAATGTGTTTTTTTTTTTCAAAATTTTTGGTCTTTTTTTGTTAATTTAGCAAAAAATAAAAACTCCAGCGGTGATTAAATACCACCAAAAGAAAGCTCTAGTTGTGTGAAGAAAATGATAAAATTTTAGTTTGGGTACAGTGTTGTATGACCGCGCAATTGTCATTCAAAGTGTGAGAGCGCTGAAACCTGAAAAATGGCCTGGGCAGGAAGGTGTAAAATCACACGGTATTGAAATGGTTAAATTCCAACTTAAATAAAAAAAAAAAAAAAATAGCCCAGCGGTTTTAAAAAATGAAAATGCAGCTCTCACTGCAATGCTCATGTTGACCTTAGTGCTCTCCCCTACAGAAAACTGGCTGAAGGTTATCTTCCAGGATGAGCAACGCCCTGTGTCTTTAAACCCACTTCTTGTGAGCTCAGGGTGTCATGGACACAATGCCTGGGGGGGGGGGGGGGGTGCTTCACCACCATGACCTGTGCCCACAGGGAAATGCTGCAGAGAATGGAATTTGCACCTTTGCCTGATTATGTTCTCTGCAGCATAGAGGACCACTCACCATCAGAGGTAAAAGAGGATCCATGATGTCACATGAACAGCCATAAAACAGGTCTGTTAAAAGGGAATTTTAAAAAAATAGGTGGGAAGAGAGGTTCAAAACCTGGACAAGATCAAGATTCGCTTAATGACTAAGGCTGGTCAGGCTGACGCCCCAGGAGCTACCTCATTGCTGTGTGATGGCGTACATTAAATTTCCTGTCAAGTGTTAAGGCTAAGGGACTCGAGCACTGACCCCATCAGCCAGTGTTGCTTGCATTTTGCATTCCTTCTCTTCCACATAGTAGAAGTCCCAACATCCCACTGTTGCTCCTGCTTGTGAAGCACCGTGTGGATTATCCGGTCACTGGTCTTGTTCCACTGCCCACCTACAGTGATTTGGTGACTTCTACCTACCTGGGAACCACATCAGCTCCATCTGCTTCAGTTTGTGTATAGGTGAGGTCTTGCCTCATATTATGTCTGTGAGGACAACCTTGATCATTGGAGAAAAGATAGCTGATAGAAAACAGACTATGATGTGCTCTCATGTCTAGTGTGGACAGCTTTTAATAGGAAAGCTGAGAACTGGCAGGCATTTCACACAAAGGAAGCAATACAAAAAGAACAGGGTATTTTTTCATACAAGTACAGCAAGCACATATCAGGAATATGAAATGTTTACTTTTTAAGTATTCGTAAATTCCTGTATCCTTCAATGGGCGATTAAGAAAATATTTTTTTTTCCTTACCTTTAAAATCTGTGACTGTAAGTCTTTGGGCACACCGAGATCTTTCAAGATTTGCGATTGCTGCCATTTGGCATTGTCTATGATATCATCTACCCTTTTTAGGCCTCATGCACAGCTCCTCTGAACAACTTTTCTACTGGCAGGAAAAAAACTGCTTAAAAATTGTAATAGCTGCATATTATGTCCACATGTTGTTGCATTCTATTGGCCAGAATATTAATTCATTCTGGCCAATAGATTCCATTAACATACATAAACACACCTTGCGTTTATACGCGTCAAGCATTTTTTTTTTCTGCCAAAAAGCTCTTCTTTTGAACGTGCTAGTGATGTTTTTTGTTTTTTTTTCTCTCTGCCTGTAAGCACTCCTCTTCTGATACGCCTGTAAATGCCTACGTGTGTGGACCCATTGACTGACATTAGTACATTTACAGGCATAAAATCATCAAGCGCCTGTAAAAGTGACATTTTCAAGTTGCTGGCAACTTGCATACTATAGGGCAGAAGAGCAGTACTTTTTAAGTACCGTATTTTCCGGTGTATAAGACGACTTTTTACCCCTTGAAAATCTACTCAAAAGTCGGGGGTCGTCTTATACGCCGGTATACGGCATACTGACACTTTTTAGGGGGGGGGGAGGCGGCGCAGTGCCGCCGCTGCCCACCCCCCCTTCCAATGGAAGGGACACTAAGTACAGGGGTGGGCAGGGGCTGCTGTTTCTTACCTGGCTCCGGTCCCACAACAATCCAGTCCAGGAAGCGCGGCTGCTCCTTCAGTTTGGCCACTGGATGTTCGCGCGGCTGCTCGGCTCCGCCTCCTCACCGGTGATTGGCCGCCTGAACTGTAGCTCAGGAAAGGCACACAGGCGGCCAATCACCAACGAGGGGGTGGAGCCGAGCGGCCCCGCGAAAATCGAGTGAAGAAGCGGCTGGTAAGTGTGCCGTGTAGAGGTGCTGCTGCAACCACATATGCTGGCTGCAGCAGCACCATACTAGAACAGAGGTCAGCAAGTGTAATTGGTGTCAGTGGGAGGAATAGTGCCCCATCATTGGTGTCACAATGATGGGGCACTATTCCTCCCACTGACACCAACGATGGGGCACTATTCCTCCCCCCACTGACACCAATGATGGGGCACTATTCCTCCCACTGACACCAATGTTGGGACACTATTCCTCCCACTGACACCAATGTTGGGACACTATTCCTCCCACTGACACCAATGTTGGGACACTATTCCCCCCACTGACACCAATGATGGGGCACTATTCCCCCCACTGACACCAATGATGGGGCACTATTCCTCCCACTGACCCAATGATGGGGCACTATTCCTCCCACTGATACCAATGATGGGGCACTATTCCTCCCACTGATACCAATGATGGGGCACTATTCCTCCCACTGACACCAATGATGGGGCACTATTCCTCCCACTGACACCAATGATGGGGCACTATTCCTCCCACTGACACCAATGATGAGGCACTATTCCTTCCACTAATACCAATGATGAGGCACTATTCCTCCCACTAATACCAATGA